TGCAACTGCATAAAATGATACTGCTGCTACTACTACTACTACTGGTTCAGATTCTTAGAGAAAACTGACACTGGTGGAACATGCAAACTCCACACAAAATGGTGCCAAATTTATAGTCCAGGTCATTATTTCTACATGCTGTTTATACATACATGAACCAAATACGTTTTCACATTTTATTGAATTTCCTCTTGTTTTATTGTGTCTATAATAATCTGTCAATCACTTCAGAACCACATCTCTGCACACAAGCTCCTCCTGCTCTATCAGCCTTCTGTCCTTCACTGTGCTTCCTGGGCTCTTAATGTAAAGCTCTTTAACAGACACATCACATAAACGTCAATTCTGGGTTTTACACTTTTCTACTCTCTCTCTCTCTCTCTCTCTCTCTCTCTCTCTCTCTGTCTATATCTATGTCTCTCTGTCTCTCTTTCTGTGTGTGTATGTGTGTCTGTGTCTCTCTCTCTGTCTTTGTCTTTGTCTCTCTGTCTCTCTGACTCTCTCTCTCTGTCTCTCTCATTCTCTGTCTTTTTCTCTTTGTCTCTCTTGTTTTCTCTCTCTTGCTGTCTCTCTTGTTCTCTCTGTGTCTCTCTTGTTCTCTCTCTCTCTCTCTCTCTCTGTCTCTCTTGTTCTCGCTGTCTTATTGTCCCTCTTGTTCTCTCTTTCTGGATCTCTCTTGTTCTCTTTTCTCTCGCTGTCTCTCTCTGTCTCTTGTTCTCTCTCTCTTGATCTCTCTCTCTCACTGTGTCTCTCGATCTCTCTCTCTCTGTCTCTCTCTCTCTCTCGTTCTCTCTCTCACTCGCTGTATCTCTCTCTCTCTCGCTGTAGCTCTCATTCTCTCTCTCTCTTGTTCTCTTTCTCTCTCTTGTTCTCTCTTTCTCTCATTCTCTCTCTCTCTCTCTCTCTCTCTCCCTCTCTTGTTCTTGCTGTCTCTCTCATTCTCTCTCTGTCTCATGTTCTCACTCTCTGTCTCTCTCATTCTCTCTCTCTCAGTCTCTCTCTGTCTCTGTCTTTCTCTCTCCCTCTCTTTTTCTCTTGTTCTCGCTGTCTTATTGTCTCTCTTGTTCTCTCTTTCTGGATCTCTCTTGTTCTCTTTTCTCTCTCTGTCTCTCTCTGTCTCTTGTTCTCTCTCTCTTGATCTCTCTCACTGTGTCTCTCGTTCTCTCTCTCTCTCTCTGTCTCTCTCTCTCTCTCTCTCTCTCACTCTCTCTCGCTGTATCTCTCTCTCTCTCTCGCTGTAGCTCTCATTCTCTCTCTCTCTTGTTCTCTTTCTCTCTCTTGTCTCTCTCTCTCATTCTCTCTCACTCTCATTCTCTCTCTCTCAGTCTCTTTGTCGCTCCCTCTCCCTCTCTTGTTCTTGCTGTCTCTCTCATTCTCTCTCTGTCTCATGTTCTCGCTCTCTGTCTCTCTCATTCTCTCTCTCTCAGTCTCTCTCTGTCTCTGTCTTTCTCTCTCTCTCCCTCTCTTGTTCTTGCTGTCTCTTTCATTCTCTCTCTCTCTCTCTCTGTTTCTCTTGTTCTCTCTCTGTCTCTCATTTTCTCTCTCTCTCTCTGTCTCTCTCGCTCTCTGTCTCTATCGTTCTCTGCCAGTCTCTCTCTCTCCTTCTCTCTACTTCTCTCTCCTTCTCTCTTCTTCTTCTTCTCTTTCCCTCTCTGCCCTCTTTTAATAAAACAATAAAGAGGGGCATGGGGTGTGTTGACTCAAGGTTTGCTGGAGTTGACTCAGCCTACTAATTAAACAATGGTAGAAATAGCCACAAGTTGTTGTGAGTTTTTAATACTCAACTACAGTCAATGATTACAGGACAGGTTCGCACTGTAAATTTACAAGTTCCAGTTTACTTCTGTTCTGTATGATTCTGGTTGGGGGTTATGCCACCTGCTTGTCTCCATGGAGATGTCATTACTTTGCTTGGAATGTCCTGTGGTATGGCATTAAAGCTATTGTAAATATGTAATTGCATGCATTTATATTGCTCAAGAAATACCTTGAAAGATGTATATTTTTACTCTGAGCAGGGTCGCCTCGCCTCTAGAGCTGATCTGCAACTTGGCCTGTCTCCATGGCAATAAAACAGCTTAATGCTTGACTTGAAAAGTACCACTACATGACATCACAAGGTGGAACACAGCGTTTTGAGTTTTGGAGATGCAGACAGACTAATAACAAAGGATTACTCAAACATATGTGAATGAAACAAAACACAACTCCAGGTATGTAATATATAGGACTTTTAAAACTTTTTGGTATGAAACAGTATGGCAGTTCAGTTTGTGTGTGATAATTACTTTAAAGAAGGATAAAAGGAAGGTATTCTTGTCAGTCAAATCACGTCGTGTTAAAAATAGCTCAGTTGTGTTTTTCAAAGCCTATGGAAACTTTGCCTTGCATAGCATACATAGCAGAACCCATAAAATCAACCTGCAGTGTGTCTATTAAAACAAGCAAGATCACACAAAATGACACACAAAAATCAGTACTGGACATTTCTTAATATGCATTTAAAGTGCATTGCGTAACTTTTCTGGTGGAGGGTTTCTTTGTGGAAATGTTATTGTTTTGTCTGGTATATTTCACAGTACGGCATTAAACATTTTTATTTTCATGGAGACCAAACCAGATCTGTGGAGAGGCAACCCCGCTCACAGAATGCCTGTTCTTCTAGGTATTTTTGAGCTATAAAACCACCATTAATTTAATAAATGTAAAGTAGAGCTGTTTAATGTGGAACATTCCAGGGAGAGCAATGACATATCCATAGAAACAAATTACACTGTGTACTAGGTTTGTGCAAAAATACTGAAATATTGATATATCGTATCTTTTAATGTGACAATACAATATCGATACTGGGGACTGCTGTATCGATATATCTCCAAGAGTATTTTTTTGTATATTTTACTTTATTATTTTGTTACAGCGCAACAGTTTTGTTGTTTGTTTAGAGGAAGGAAACTTGTTTATGTGATGCATTTGACATTTTCACTGTTTTGAGGAATAAAATCGACGTGTTTCATATGAACTTTGCACAAGAAGTGGTTTAACAAACACTTTTAGTATCACAGCCATGATTTAGTCTTTATTTTTTATTGAACTGTATTGAATCAATTTGAAATATATCTTATCGAATTGTAAGCTCACTGTATTGAGATATGTATAGTATCGTGGCCTATATATCGAGGTATGTATCGTATCAGTAACTTCTTAATGATACCCAGCTCTACTGTGTACCTTTAATAAACTGTAGAACATAAAGCAAAAAGTAAAAAATTATAATGGCACCAGACCAAGAGATTGCATAATGTACAATTTATTCTGTGCAGAGCTGTGTTAACTTTAGACATTTTTTCTTTCTGTTAACACATAGCTAAATTCTTGGCGTTAAGTTATACGTTTTACAGCTAATTTCAAGATTGCACATCACAGCCTGCAAATTGTAAAACCCCCCAGTGGACTAATAACATTCTTAAGCCCTAAGAAAAATACTCAGCGGTGCAGTAACTTCACGGTCAAGAGTTTGGTAATGACTGCATGGCGTTGGCCTCGTGTTGTTTTGGAAAAATTTGATAATTTGTGGGAAAAGTTTGAGGATTTCGGACAAAAAAGTCAAGCTGTGTGCAAAACCGGAAACCAGAATGGATAGATGAGATGTTCTTTTGCACTCGGAAATGATGGGGGAGTGCACGCTTTTGACCTTTTGACCTCCCCGAGTCGTGAGAACCAATTTTGAAGCCAAGATCCCCACAAACATAATCTATTAACTCTAGCATAGGGAAAGCAAATGGCATATAGGCATGTTAAGTCTACAAAAGAAAAATTATCATACCTTTCTATCAGTGCTTGTGGAGCTGTGCCAACTATGCAGCATAAAGCACCCCCTAACGCTAAAAATAAGTCAACCAAGTATGTTTTGGTAAGGGATTTCAAACACTCACTTAATTAGAAGACAAAAGACAAGCTAAGGATCGCAAATGAAATAGGCACATGGTCTCGAGGGGGAACTCCAAACCAAAACATGCAGAGATGACCATAAGAAAATCTGACCATGTGCTTCGAAGCAAGACGCAAGACACAGACTTGAAGAGGTTGTCAACACAAGAACAAAAACATTTGATACTGGAGAGCGGCCAGACATAAATCCTCTGGGCTATTCAACTTCAGTGCACACATCAGGAACTTAACTGCGGCAAACTAGACCAGAGGAAGGGCCTATGTTACGACAACTTGAGTGACTTGCGAGCAACTTGTAAGTGTTAGGTCATGTTAGAATGTTGTTACCTCATCGAAAACATACTGGAGTTGTGTTTAAATTTGAGTAAACCTGTATTATGAGTCTGTCTACACCTCCAAACTTGAGATGTCATGAAGTAGTTTTCAAGTTAACATCTACCTTTTTACCTTTTTTTTTAGTAGCAGCAGGCAATTCTAGGGCTAAAAGTATCCAAATGATGAAGTTGACAATCTAGTGAAGATGTATGGAGTTTAAAAACATAGTGGAGCACTTCCTGTATTACTCCATGACATCACAAAGTGGAACAGGGGGTTTTCAGTTTAAGTGTGTGTTAAACATGTGCAAATGAAGCAAAACACAACTCCAGGTATGTTTTTGTTGAGGAAACAACATTATAACATAGATCAGAAAGCATCGTAATATGGGCTCTTTAATCTGTACGCTTTTTAAAATGTGTTTGTTTTAGGAGTAAACATGTAAAGATTATATTTTTGTCTTAAAATGTCCATTGAATCTTAATTCTGACACTAGAACTACAGATGTCCAGGTGATTAAATTGATATTTTAACACGTGGATGTGCGTTGCAGTTCAATCAACTTCTGCCACACGTGAAAATTATCCAAGTGAAAAACAACAATGGCAAAATCTGCTAAATCTGCAGCCGTGTATTGTAGGTTAATCCGTGGCTTATTTGTGCGTAATGTGCCTGCGTCAAAAGTTCATAGAAAAAGCAACAGTAAACGAGAAATAAGTTGTATCAAACTTTACCTCTGACTTCCACACCACGAAGGCGTGAGAGCATGACGGGGGCGCCTTCTTCTGCAGCCACCTCCTCGGGGAGAAGAGCGCACCGGTGCTGGCAGAGGACGCCACACCGGGCCCTCTCACCAGATACGGCAAATCCCCCGCCGTATTCCGCTTGGCACGCTTCACCGAGTCATAATCAAAGTGGAAGTTGGACGAGGGTGAGATATCCAAAGGTATGGACGGCGTGGAGAGGGATGGAGAGATTGGTTCCCTAAGCGTCTTGATGCGTAAAGGTGGTTTTGACATAGGCGCACCTGTATCCAAAGTTGGAACGGTGCTCTGCCCGTCTGTGCCGCAGTGACGGATTATGGCCGGGTCTAAACTCCGCGTCTGGCGAAGTCTCCGCTTGGCAATGGCTTTGGACGCAGGTGAGGAGCAGGAGAAGACGCTGTTGAGGAGTCCTTGAGCGGTCGACATGTCTCCCCAAGTTACGTATCTCTCCGTCAAATGTCTACAACGACTTCTATCCCATCAAAGAAAACCCCAAAATGTGCGCTCGGGTCAAAACGTGCCGCATTTCGTTCCAGATGCTAACTGAAGGTCTCTCCAAAGTCCAGAGTGCGCCTTCCGAAGTGTGCGCAGTGAGAACACGGTGTGATTGTGAAGTGGGAGGCGGTCACTGTGGGTTCAGATGCGCGCCTGGCTTGTGCGTATGCAGTTCCCAAATGTTATCGTTTTGGATGTAAATCTCCAGGGGATGCGAGTATTAGCGCGCGCATATTGGAGTTTTATGTGTGTATGAATCAGCTTTAAATTAGATTCAGATGTTGGTGAGAGGTGATAACATCTGCTCCACCACATTCCATTGAAATAATACAGAAAAAGTAGAGGAGACTGAATTCCATGTGTTTATACGGTGGAGTAAAGGTGGTAAAAAGAAAGTTTGGCATGTGTCTCGCATACTTTATGCAACATCGCTGCCCTATATTTCTGTAATGGTCATAAGCCACCCTTTAACATTTGCATAAAATAAAGGATGAAGTAAAGGATTTCCCCCCAGTATACATACATGCAACGTTGGCCTTGTATTGTTGTCAGTAAAATAACTATTTCTACACATTATTCTAAAGTGGACACTTGAAACACTTTGCATGGATTAGGGGATGAGTTAAAGGTCCTATACTACACAAACTGGATTCTTATGAGCTTTAAGCCATATGATAATGTTGTTACCTCATCAAAAACATACTTGGAGTTGTATTTTTTGTGTGTGTGTGTGTGTGTTTTGTTTCATTTATCTACATTCATCTACATCTCCAAAGCTCAAAATGCTCTGTTCCAAAATGCTCTGTTTGTGATTTCATGTAGTGGTAGTTTTGAAGTTTTACCTTTTACCTAAAAAAAAAAAAAAAATCTTCTGCTGCTTCTGCTTTTGCTGTAAAAGTCAGTTCCCTATATTTCTGTAATGCTCATAAGCCACCCTTTTACTTGTGTGTAATGATTTAGATTTTTCCCCAATATACATACATACATACATGCATGCAACATTGGCCCTGTATTGTTGTCAGTAAAATAACAATTTGTACACATTATTTTAAAGGGGACACTTGAAACACTTTGGGTATGAGTCCACAAAATGGGTTCTTGTGAGCTTTAAGCCATGAGATAATGTTACCTCATCAAAAACATACTTAGAGTTGTGTTTTTGTGTTTTGTTTCATTCACACATGTTTGAGTTGAGTTGAGTTATTATTAATCTATCTACATCTCCAAAGCTCAAAATGCTCTGTTCCAAAATGTTTGTGATGTTACGTAGTGGTAGTTTTGAAGTTTTGCCTTTAACCCATTCAGTGGTATTTGGAATTTGGGACAACAAGAGCATAAACAGCATTTTATGGAGCTAAATTATTCCCCGATTGTGGGAAAGATGGACTGGCATGGGTAATGTTGTGTTTTAGTTTTTGTTTTTCCTCGAGTGATGCAGAAAAGGGGGAAGCCACTGTCTGTGTGAATGTTCATCTTAGGTACTCATAGGCTTGCTCAGGCCCTCAGATGGATTATGTTATGATAGACCAAATGAGAAAAGTACCAACTGAAACAAAACATTTATATAATTGTGCCTCATTTGCTACTTGTTTAGAATTTATTGTTACCATTTACATTGTTGCTTTTTGTTATTATAATATACATTGATGTGTGAGCTACTGTGTCCAGATAATGTCTCTTGTGGATCAATAAAGTTTGTCTAAGTCTAAGCGTAAAATAATAAAAGAAAGTGAATGTAGGCCTACTTTGGGATGACTCTGGTGGTTTCCATGTTGCAACAAACATAATGAAAGTCTATTTTACTTGAAGGTACATTAGAATTATCACCTATCGCCAAGAATGTGTGAGGCCCTCTTATGCAATTCTCAAAAACACATATTGTTACTTGAGTTATTCTGATCTTTCCAGCTTCACTCCAGGGGGCGGTAGAGAGAACATACCTCGCATTCTTTGTCTGACACCCTGTCCATCTTCATATACATGGTTATCACTTCAATATCACCTTAACATAACAAGTTTAACCACCTCTTTCCACACTGATAAACCAACGGAACATGTCCCAACGTATTTTGATAATGAACAGATATAAAGTGTGTTTTAATTGAGTTTGAATGAGAGCCAACAGACACCAGACATGCGTTAAGTCATGCATAGGCAGACAGAGGATGAAAATAGCCACATTAATCCCTGTCTCTCATTAATCCAAAGTGTGTCTGAATAATAGGCCTAACATTGTAGCCTGCAGCCTTCTAATATTAGCCTATAATAATAACTGCATGCTTGGTTTTATACAGTGGGGGAAAGTAACAAAGTAAAAGTATTTAAGTATGCATTTTAGGTGTTTGTGCATTCCTTGTGGATACTTTTTACTTTTATTTCACAAAATTTGAGAGCAGATATCTGTACTTTGTACTCCACTACATTTTGAACTTGACTGAAAAGTAAAAATATGTTTTATTATAGTTTGAAATTTGCTGAAAAAGGCTGTGGTTTCTTTTGAACACGTTCATACTTTGAGCAAACAATAATTTACATTAAATTTACATTAAATTTACATTTGAAGCTTTATTAGATCTCAAAATTTGTGGAAAATACTTTTACTTTTTACTCTTTAAGTACATTTTAAACAGGTACTACTACCACCTGCTCGTCTGCTCTATCCACACTATAGATTAAACCTATCTATCACAAGGGAGAAAAGCAGGTTACCTCACTATGCTACACAGTTCAGATCTGTATGGATCTTCAGATCTCCGTGGAAATGTTATGCTTTGTCTAGAATATTCCACAGTATTAAATTAGAAAAAAATCTATCACAAGGGAGAAAAGCAGGTTACCACACTATACTAGTTCAAATCTGTGGAGAGCAGCTTCTATTTGCAAAAGGAATTAAAGTATTTTTGAGAAATAGAAACACTTGTAATGAATAAAAGTTTAATGCCATACCATGGAACATTCCAGGGAAAACAATAATATCTCCAAGGAGAAAAGCATTTGACGGACTCTTCACCAGAAAAGTTACACAATGCTACTTTAAGTATTACAGTTTGAAACCTGCTGAAAAGGCTGTGGGTTTATTTTTAACACATTCATAGTTTGAGCAAAGAAAAATTTACATATAAAAATTACTACATTTGAAGTTTAAAATATTAGATCTCAAAATCTGTGCAAAATAATTTTACTTTTTAGTCTTTAAGTACATTTTTAACAGATACTATGGTGTCTGTACTTTTACTTAAAGGTGCACTGTGCAACTTTTCTGGTGGAGGGTCCAGCCACCTGTTTGTCTCCATGGAAATGTTATGCTTTGTCTTGAATGTTCCACAGTATTAAACTAAAAAAAAAAAAAAATCTACAGGGAAGAAAAGCAAGTTACTGCACTACACCAGTTCAAATCTGTGGAGAGTCGCTTCTATTTGCAAAAGGAATTAAAGTATTTTTGAGAAATAGAAACACTTGTAATGAATAAATGTTTAATGTCATACCATGGAACATTCCAGGGAAAGCAATAATATTTCCATGGACAAAAACATTTGGCAGACCCTCTCTCTACCAGAAAAGTTACATAGTGCACCTTTAAGTAACAAAATCGAGCACATCTTCCACCATTGGTTTTAAATAGGCTGTGTCTTTATCCACCTGTGCCGTGCAGCCGGTTTAACTCCAAATAGATGAGAAGTTAATTCAGTGGAATGATCGGTCAGTAAGCGTGCATGAGTAGTTTAAAGTGTGCACGTGCAGCAGTGTGTGTGAAAGTATGGGAAAAATGAATAGAGACAGCAGGAGGGGGGTAAGGGAGGGGTGAAGGGGGGTGATGGAGGGGTGAGGGAGGGGTGAAGGGGGGCCTGATAAAAGAGCTTATGAAGTTGCACTGCTTGACACACACAACACAGCGTGACATGATACCGATAAGAACTAGAGGAGATTGGACGCAGGCTTCTGGCAGTTAGCAATTACAAAATACTTCTACTACCACTACTACTACTACAACCTCTACAAAGTCATGCACCAATGCTACTGCAGTTTTCTACAAATTGCTGCTCTGCTTTCACTGCAACAATTCTGCACCCAAATAACTTTTATTCATCAAACCAATACAAATAGCTAATCCAGATTTGAGCAGGGACTTGCAAATCCACTGTATTCCGTGCGCCAAGATTTAAAGGTCTGGAGTTGTGTTTTGTTTCATTCGCACGTGTTTGAGTAGCTCTTTGTTATTTGTCTGTCTACATCTCCAAAGCTCAAAATGCTCTGTTCCTCCTTTTAATGTCATGTAGTGGTTTTCAACTTAACAGTTACCTTTTACGGGGTTTTATTTCTTTTCTTTTGCAGGGTTTGTGTGTTAAATATATGTGAATGAAACAAAACACAACTCCAGGTTTATTTTTGATGAGCAAGCAACATTATAACAGATCAGAAAATAGCAAATTATGGGCCCTGTACTGCTTTGTGCAACTTTGAAAAATGTAAAGCAACTAATACATTAATATTAACATTGGCTTAGAGCAAGGTACTTTTTATGCTTCTTCTTTTGTCCAGTATATTTTTTATAACAGTGAAATACAATGGAATTAGGGATTAGGCTTGTCTCACAGTTAATGCTTTTACTCCCACATACTCTCATCTCTGGCTCTTCTGTCAAGACACATTAGAAGTCCATAAAGCCAGTGGAAACATTTAAAAGGTGATCATTTAACATTTCTGTCAATTTATATGAGATGTTGTGAACGCCTGCAGACGTTTAGGAATTAATCACCGTTCGGGCCCTGCATACACACTAGCCTTATTTGGTATACAACAAAATAGCATGAGTAGACTGAACCTCTTTTATGTCAAAATTAGTCACTATTTAGACTTGTTTCCCTGTACTTCAGATCACAAGTGTCTGTCTCTGCTAGTGTAGAAAGGCCAAAAGGTCGTGGAAATCTAATTAACTGAACAATTGCTACTATGGTGATGAGATTACAGCTGCAAAAGACAAAGCATAACAAGCTATTTGTAGCCCGCAGCTAAAAATATCAGGATTTCACCTCTTCTGACTGCACTTCACCATTCTAGACATTGAAGGGCTACCATCTTGTTTCAATAGAGGAAGATTAAATTATAGAGGCATTTAGAACGCTCTTGTGCGGTATTAGCTACAGGGCAAAACTGTACCACAACACCGTTTTCAATAGCGGGCCCTTAGTTAGATTTGATAAGCCGATAACACTGAAATGGCAGTATATAATGTCCCGAAATGAGATATGGGTTGGCCAATGTTGCAGTCTTATGTCCTACATATGGACTAAATGTATTTTCGTATCAGACAGACACTATGTAGGTCAGTACAAATTTTAAACATATGAATGCAGGTGTGTTTGGAAAATCTATGAAGCCTTTCTCTTTTTTAAAAAAAATAAACTACTTTAAAGGTGCATTTTGTGACTTTTCTGGTGGAGGGATCGCCATGGAGATGTTATTGTTTTGTCTGGAATGTTCCGGCATGGCATTAAAAGTTTCCATCTTGCATTTACTCACTAACATGGGTTTTCATTGATCTAAAAACTTGCATTCTTACAGTAAGTGACTCTCCTCTCCACAGATGTGATATGTAACTTGAGCCTGTTGCATTACCTGCTGTCTCCATAGACTTAAATAAGTGTAACGCTATACTGTTTAACATTTCAGACAATATCTCCATGAATTGAAGCAGGTGACGAACCCTCCACCAGAAAAGTTACACAATACACCTTTAGGCTACAATAAATAAATGCTGCAAGGAAAGCACTTTTTTTTTAATTAAAGCATTATTAGTCTAATTTGCTATTTCTTCTGGACAGCAATAGTAAAGGGTTTATATAATAGAATTTTCATTAGACAGATAAATAAAGAAAGCATTTCGTGTTATACTTTAATAATATGTTCATACTGTAATTTGTAAGTACTTATTGGGCTATGTAGTGTTTGATACCGCTCTAAGATTGCTTTTTAATACTATAATCCAGTTACTATTAATATATTTAGCCTTGCCTAAGAAAAGAACATTTATTGACACTGGGTGATGATTTTTTTGTAGCACTATACTGACATCTCATGGTCAAAGTGTGGCGTAGATCAAGATGCGGAACAAAATATGTTGCTGACCAATCACGTTCACCGCTGTGACGTAAGGACGCGGTGACGCCTGTGACGCTGCTTCGGTACAAAACAGCAGTGGTCGTGGCGTCTTGAGGTTAGCAGATGCGGGCTAGCTCTTCCTCCGGGCGGACACTCTGCAAAGATGATCCCGGGACCCCTGCTCATCCTCCTGGTCCTTAGCTGTGTGTGCGGGACAGTGGTCAGCGAAAGAGAGCTGGTTTATGTCACTGTGGTGAGTAGTTTGGATGCAAAGTCAGTTGTTTTTTATCGCGCTAAGATGATCGTGCTATATGAGAGATCACTGTCACTAAAGCCTTTTGACTGTTCGCATTACTGTGAAAGTTATTTATTTGCCTCGAATTCATCTGAACGGTTTTTTTTTTTTCGTTCAGTAGAAAAACGAAAGAAAAAACGGTAAATTGAACTGAACATAATAACAACCTAATCACGTCTAATTACTTGTCTTTGTCCAATTGTTTTGCTGTCGCTAAAAAAAAAAAACACGATCTCCAAAAAGTTTGAGCAGAACGTTATTGCTACTCCTGAAAACATCGCAGTCTAGTACGTGACTAAGATGAACACAAAAAACACAGTAAAACACATGATTTTCTTGCTAATTTGACAGATTTCCACAGTACAGCTAAACTAATAAAATTAATCAATAAAAATCCAATCGAAGGAGCAGATGACGTCTCCGTCAGCAAATGCATGTTGTGCAAAAAAAGACATTCATAACTAGTTACGCAGTGTACCAAAGTTACTGATAATTTCGCTAAAGCGTGCTGTTGTATAAAAAATGTATTTTTTTTTTCAATTATTTTCAAGCTCTCCTCACCTGCACCACTCAGACAGGTAGGGTTCATTTTAGGTACGACCCCTGTTTTAACAAGTGCTGTCCAATTATCTTTTAAGTAGGTGTTGACAACACTCTTGAACTTGTAGTAATTAATTCTAACAAGTCAAGTTATTGCAATGTCCCTTAAGGTCAAGTATGACAAGTAAAACATGTCTAAAAATTATGATGTTACACACATTAGATGCCCTGAGACTATTTTTATCACTTATCTTTACCCAATATGACTCTTGATGTTATGAACTTTCCTTCTCCTTCATCAAAGCATCTGACAGGGGAGTGAAAATTAGACTTCCCCTGTATCCGCTGTTTAAGTTATTGCATAAAAGTATTGTATGTCTGTGTGTCAGCAGGCTATAGGTGCTACTGACGCACTGTTAGCTTTGTAAAATTCAACATCCAATCTCGAATTTAGAAAGGAAGTCTAGCCTGCATTGCTTACGTTCCTAGAAAGCTGTAACTGAAAAGCTGGTTAACATCTTCATAATCCGATGGGCAAGCTTAACACCTTAGTAGCTTCTTTAAACACCTTAGTAGCTTCTTTAAATTGTCCACTGTTTGGCTTTCCTCATGTGCATTACAAAACCTACCAAACCTGTAATTTCCTGTGCACCATTACGTGTGAATATATACCCCAGCTGTTGTAGCTTCAGGTTACTTATTGACAGACCTAATACGAGCTTTGGTGACCCACTTTTTATCAGTCTAAGCTTATGTAAAAGAACAGACACAACAATTTGCTGTGTCAGCTGATGTTTTTTTTTCTTTTTTCACATCTCAGTTCTGCAACGTTAAAGGTGCTCTGTGTAAGTGTTAAGGTGGAGGCCCGGCTATGTTCTTGTCTCCATGGAGATTTTATTTCTTTGCATGGGATGTTCCACAGTATTGCATTAAACTTATCTATTACAGGTGTTTTATTGCTCAAAAAACATTGAATTCTTATTCTCTGCAGGCTTACTTCTCCATAGGTCTGACCAGTAACTTATCCCGACTGTGATAACCAAGTTTTTTCCATACTGTATAACATTCAAGGCAAAGGAATTCCCTCTATTTGGATATAAGCAGTTGGCAGACACTTCACCAGTAAAGACACACCTTTTCTGGTGGTGTTGGTTTGACACTATCATGTGATGGCAAAGTGCTCAGTTTTGTAATTTATTTTATTGTAGAATGGGGCGTGTTCGTGGAATATATAGTTTTGGGCGTGTACTCCCATTTGTATAGAAATTAAATGTATTATGCTGTGAAGCCCAAGACCAGAGTTTCTTTCATTTCAACTTCCGTTTTATAAATATGACCATCTAAGTTTTATTGTAAATTCTGTACTTCTCTTTTAGCTGTTTCGTCATGGAGACCGATCACCTGTCCACTCCTACCCCACAGACCCCTACCAAGAGAGTGCCTGGCCTCAAGGCTTCGGCCAGCTTTCTCAGGTGCATTTTAAAGTGATATTTTCAATGTACAATACTGTTAACCTCTAAAGTAATTTGTGTTGTCACTTGTCACAATTTCAAACTCAATTTCAATAATAAAGAATAGGCTTGATCCTCAATAATACCATTCCCGATACCATGATAATAGGAAAAAAACATCTTTTAATTATACAATAAAATGTCACTTTGAAGTTTGAACATGAAATCGCAATACTTTTTACATTACCATGTGGCCTTATATTTGCCTAATTCCTCAGTCCATACTAGTCTATATGATCTTCTTTTTTCTTGATTTTTCTTGATTCAGCTCAAGATCATTCTAAAGCTATTCAGGATTAGTTAATTTCTGTCCTGTTAATGTCACTTTTTTGGTATCAATACATGCTGATATGAGTATCTATTTTTTATACTAGTTTTAGTATCTGATTTTAGATACAACCCTAGAGGTAACACATTATTTTTACAACTGTATTTTGTACAACCTGTTTGAGCACATTACATAAACGGACAAATATTGATATATTACCTATATATAGGTTCCTGTTCATGTTTGTGGTTGCCTTTTCTTTGCTTGTCTTAAAACCTGTGTAGTCACTTTGCTGTTTCTAAAATGTCCTTTTTGGTTTATAGATTGGGATGGAACAACACTACAAGCTTGGACAATTCCTGCGACACCGCTACACTGGTTTCCTTAAAGAATCTTATGACCGCCATGAGGTAAAGTATTTGCCCTCAGTAGCCCTTGCTTACTGATATTAACAATTAGCACTAGACGTCTTTTTGTCATCTCTGTGTTAAGAAGTCCTGCCAGAAGATTGTCTCATTGACTTTAACTGGCTCTTGTCCTCACAGATATTGGTGCGTAGTACAGACTACGACCGGACATTGATGAGCGCTGAGGCTAATCTTGCAGGTCAGTAAGTTGCCACTGTTTTCTATAAATGCCATACATTTTTAAGATGAGAAGATGCAAATTTATTGATCTCATATTGGAGATATTAAATTGTGTTAGTAACTTCTAATACACAATTTTGTAGATTCAACTTTTATTCTTATTTTTAAAATTTTATATTTTGTCATAATAATGAAAAATGTATAAAAATATGGTTAAATGTAGAAAAAGAAAATGTGTATATTCATAATCTAAATCAAGTTAAGAATAACAATTTACAGGGTATAACTTATCAATATGTAATTAAAAGTAATAATAAAATACATTTGCATTTACAAGGAATAATAGTTGTGGCAAAAGTGAAGTTGGTTTAAAAGTGCAAATTATCAAAAATATACGTATTAACTGAAAACACTTCAATTACTACATTTTAAATTTCAGGTCTGTACCCACCAAATGGTTCCCAGGTCTTTAACCCAGACATAAAATGGCAGCCTGTCCCTGTGCACACTGTCCCAATGTCTGAGGAACGGGTTAGTAATAGATAATATTAGCAGTAGTAGTAACAGTAAATTAACTCATTTTTAAATGGTTCCTTTTTTGCGGTTTCTGATATATCATGTGTTTTGGTTCCAGCTTCTTTCATTTCCTCTGAATGACTGCCCTCGCTACAAACTGCTGATGAATGAAACTGAACAGACTGAAGAGTTTCTGAACACCACTGCTTTGTACGAGGTAAAGTTTGAGAGAATAATATGCAGGGTTTATTTGTGAAGCGTGTGAATGAACCAAAACACAATTCCAAGTATGTTTTTGATGAGGACATGAGCTGTTAAATTAAGCATGCAATATTATTGTACGCACACAGTAACTGCCATTGTTTTGTTTAGGATGTCATTGAGCTGGTGAGAAATAAAACCTTATTAAACAAGACAGACATCGAATCCGTTTGGGCCGTCTATGATACATTATTCTGTGAGGTAAGAGGAGAAAATGTACATGATTTAGATATTTTCTTACGAAGCATTATCAGTCACTAGCCTCCACAAGCTTCCGAAAAACAACCACATCCTTAAGTTGCAATCACGCACACGTTAACCACTTTACTATCTGTTTTAGCAACATCTAAAGTGATGGTTATATTTTGAGGCATTTATTAACTGGTCTGTTGCCATTGTTACTCCATAAACAAATGGGCATTGCTAACTCTATTTTGTAACTGCTGCTGTGAGCCTCGTCATTTTGGTCTTTAAAATATTCATATTAACCCGCTCTACATGATCCTGGTGTAAATAAATTCATGTATATTTGTTTTGTTTACTGTGTTTAGGCTCAGCACAACATGACTCCTCCAGTCTGGGTCACTCCTGAAGTCATGGCCAAGCTCAAATACCTGAAGGATTTTGCATTTCGGGTAACGCCCTCATCCTTTATTTTTATTCTTTCACTATTGTTCCTTTGGCTATTGTTATACAATAATGACCTCTTGATTTTATAATTACTTACAGACAATCTTTGGACTATACAAGCAAACAGAGAAGAGCCGCCTACAGGGAGGTGAGCGATTGATACTTTGCAGTGAAATCACGCTGGGGGTGTTCTTCATGTTTGTCTGTGGTAGCATGTTCATCAGTTACCATAGATGCACTATGCACACATTAGCAAACGCTGTCAAAAAAGGTTTGAAGAGAAGAGAAGCTGAAGAAAAAATACAAAACAGATTTAAACAACACATTTTCAGGAGCCAGTGTTTAATACAAGACAATTTTAAGTGTTTGATTTGAAACTAGAAAAGCAGTCAGAGAGCGCAGACCTCCGCCAAGGATTACCCCCATTTTTTATATAAATTGCGATAAAATCAGTCTTCTGGATCAGATCCGGATCAGCCTTTGGAATATGAAAGAGGATCCCATTGTCCATCCCTGAGTCAAATTTCATGGGGTTTGGTCAATAATTAACCGAGATATTGAGAAACAAAATTTTTGGCCCCATTTACCACAATGTTAACTAAAATTTCAAAGTGATCCAGAATCCAGGATTTCTTCCGGATCACCCCCAAAATGAAATCAGTTCTTCCTTTTCACATTTCCAACAAATCAGTCCATAACAAAATCGGTCCATAACTTTTTGAGTTATGTTGCTAACAGACAAACAAACAAACAAAACAAACAGACAAACGCCGGCAAAAATATAACCTCCTTGGCGGAGGTAACAAAAAGGTGAGAGTGACCAACTGAACAACTGTTGGCTAATACTAACTATCTTGTGACTAATTACATGTGTGACAGACTTGTTTAACAGCATACATCAGCTCACCTATTGTTGTTCCTATTAAGTCAGCTCTTTCTGCTCAGATTGTATTCAAATAAAGCTCATTAAAATCTAACCGAACTTCTGACAGAGTGGAGTATCAGTTGTATAACAGTATGAACTGGTTTGCCCTTCCCACTCTCTCATTTTTTTCTTTTCTTTTTTCTGATTTTAAAATGTAAATGTATTTGTCATTTGCCAGGTATGCTTTTAGGAGAGATAGTGAAGAATCTGACTCGAATAGCCGCTGAAGACCCCAAACCACAACTTAAGTTCATGATGCTGTCAGCTGTAAGTTCAAAATGTTCAACAAATGTCATACAAACAGTGTATCTATATCTGTTTAATATTTGTGCTGCTTAGTTGTTAATTTCAATGCATTTATTTTGACAGCATGACACTACTGTAGCTGCTCTCCAGGCTAGCCTTAATGTTTTCAATTTCATTCAACCACCTTATGCATCTTGCCATATCTTTGAACTCAACAAGGAGGATAATGGGTAAGGGCTTAAATATTTACAAAAATGAAAAGGAAAACAGTAACTCACTTGGTTTCATATTTAAACCTTTTTTTCTCCTTCACAGTTCTTACAGTGTCCATGTTTTACCGCAACAGCACTGAACTCTACCAACTGCAATTACCTGGCTGTGCTCTTTACTGCCCCCTTGAGGAATTCAAAGCACTTACAAAGCCTTCTATTTCTGATGATCGGGATAAGGAATGCCAGCTTCCTTCAGAGGGAACAAAGAAAGGTAAAAAATAAAATAAAATTAGAATATGCCGTTTTCACACTCTCCTCTTTTGAAGATATATTTGTTAAGAAATATTAAAGAAAAGTCACAAATATTGAGTTCACTGTCCTAGCTTACTACAAAATCATACATAGCATCACCTTTTACAGCTTAAGTTTTATCATATTGACAAAAATAATTACATTTACCAGTAGTGCAAAGAAAATGTAAACGGGATAAATATAATAAATATTGTTCCACCTTTCATATATTGAATGATAAGTCTATATAGTAATTATGGTGACAGGCCTACTCCCATCTGAAAATCAGTGCTTGCTCTAATTTATGTTCTTTTCAATATTTCCAGAAGTAATCATTAGCCTAGCAGTGTCCGGCTGCCTTCTCTTCCTCCTCATCGCCATCCTCCTCGCGGTCATCTGCCGGCAGACGGAGCCAATGAGATCGCGGGGATACCATCATGTGATCAACGAGGCTGAGTCCTGACAGAAGTGCGAGCTCCTGCCTCCCAAATGCACACGGCTCACTTCCTGGGACAATACTGAAGAGAGTGAAGATGATGAACTTTGACCTCTCTGTTCCTGGAGTTAATTGAGTGAACTCTAAATGACCTACAGGGGGTCCAGGGGTGGCACAGGGGGTGATATGACTTGAAAAGTTCTGGTTTAGTTGACAGTGGGTCCACTAACTTTCTGCTGGGTGAGGGACAAATATTTGTCCTAAAAAATGAAATTCTATATATGATTCAACTCTTGGATATGCTGATAATTGTGCATTTGGAAACAGTAGAAGTTTTATAAATTTCAAGGGCTAAGTGTTAAAAGGTCCTATGTTTCTTCATCAAAAAAATACCTAGAGTTGAGTTTTGTTTCATTCATACATGTTTAACACACAAACCCGTATTTAGGCTTAGTTCTTCACACATACAGAAAACACTCCACCTTCCACCTTTGTGATGTCATGTGGTTATACGAAATGGGCTCCACTGTGTTTTTAAAGTCCATACACCTTCACTAGAATCATTTGGATGATTTCAAATCTGGAATTGCCAGTCTTTACTACTAAACTAAAGGGAAACAGTAGCTGTTAACTTGAACCAGAGCATCTGGAGCTTTGGAGACACAGACAAATAATAAAGGCTTTCTCAAACATGTGCATGAAACAAAACACAACTCCAGGTATGTTTTTTGGATGAGCTAACATTGTAACAAGGCGTAAAGCTTACTAGAGTGAATATTGCGTGATATAGGACCTTTTTAAGGGGAAAATGTGCCTTACCTTCTTAATCTTCCTCTTGGGACTATTTAGTTTAAGTGTTTGTCTTATAGCTTTACTTGTCTTTCCACCTACATCTGTTTACAGTTGGTTACAAGAGACACAAGTTTCATTGAGATGCAGTGCAATATTCCTCAATATTCCTGAAAATATCTGAACAACATTATACAAGCTTGTCAAAAACTATGCATAGTTTTGCGTTTGTTTAAATTATAAGACATGTAGCTGTCTAGAAATTGCCGTATGATGTAAAGTAGGGTAATTTCATGCACTGGATTGCTAGTATTACTAAGATGCATTGTTAGCTGTCTATATTTGGTCAAAAAAAACATGGGGTGAACACATTTTGTACAAGCTGAAATTAAATAAATGTATTGATTTTGTTGATTTGTAGTACCCTATCTTCCAAATCACATGAATGAATCTATAAATTTTGATGTGAAGTTTTGACAGCATTGGTTAAATCCTTTTAAATGTCTACTGTGCAACATTTCTGACACAAATATATTTTATTCAATTACAGATGGTTTAATTTCTCAAATCTACAGTAAAAACATGGATTACTACTGTTGACGGGCCCTCTTCTCCACAGATCTGACTTGGAGACAAGCAGGCCAAGCTACATGGAGATAGTTAAATTAAATGCCATCCTGTAGAATGTTAAGGGAAGAATGTTAACATCTACATGTAATCAAGCAGGTAGTGGACCCTCTACCAGAAAAGTTACACAATGCTGCTTTAAACTAGACATCTAGACTCCTCCAACTGTTGTATGTTTGCAGAGGCTTGGCTAGCGGATTTTGATTTAATTCGGATGTTCCTAATAAACTTGTTAAGCAGCAAATTAAACCACATGATCCGATGCGCATAGTTGTGGAAAAGTTTGAACCAGCAAGAATCTCTTAAGTTCAAAAGGCCAGTAACCATCATTCAAATAGAGTCAAAGCAACATTATTTTTCTTTAAAAAGTGTGCAGTAGGCCTTTATTCAACACGGTAGTGCATTTTTGCATACATAATCGGTGATCTTTTGCACGTTACATTCAGTATTTTGCCACTAAACAAAATGATAAAATTATACTCACTGTCACCTGTTGCAAACATTTACACAAGTAAGCTATCACACTTAACAGAAAACACTATTGAGTTGTTGCGATTGGATCCAGAAGCATGCCCTGTAAATGAGCGATAACTTTTTCCTTTAAACCACTATAAAGTTGATATCTTACATATTAATCGGTATTTGTCAGTTAATATACATGTCCAGTATGGAGGACATTGATTCCCTCAGTCAAACATAAAAACACTACATGAGTTATGTTCCAACATTGTGAAATATTGCTCAGACACTGAAGTTAGTTATGAGATTGAAAGACCTACGAGTAAAAAAAGACAAACAATGAAATTCAAACACACAGTTCAGGATTAGAAATCAGCTCGGACACACACACAAACACATCTTGTGCAAAAATATTTCCATAGGGAATGAATTGGATATGATCTAATGTGATGGCACATCAATAGTCAATAATAAAATAGAGGATTGCCAGGAGAATACATAAATATGGTAGGAAATGACGTCCTACATTTGTTAGTCTATTTGGAAAGTTTTCTAAGTGCAAAATGTTTCAGATTTTTGATTAAAAATATGACATCCTTTCATGTGAAATTTTAGTTATGCTTGAATGTATAATCTATCATCTATATTACAATGTCCCAAATGTCCTATGTTGACAGATCACAGTTCTGTTCTTGGTCAAACCAGCTGCTTTGCTACACATTCGCCATCTCTCAATGTAATATTAGTTTGCTTACAAAACTGTTCAGTAAACTTCAAAGTCCATAAATAGACTGTCAGTGGGTGCAGCAACCATATACAAGAGCCTAAGCTTTTAATGGCATCGACAGAAACATTGGATTCGATAGCATGATTAGCTGACTAATGCTGTTTTGGCATAGTCTGTAGCCAAGCAGACTATTTTAGCTTTATAGTCACAATAGCTTTTTAAAGTGTATTTCAATTTAAAAGTGCACTGAGCCAGTTTTTTGATGGAGGGTCCGTCACCTGCTTGTCTCCATGGAGATTTTATTGCTTTGCCTGGAATGTGCCATTGTATAACTAAATATTTCCATTTAGCATTTATTCATTACAGGTGTTTCTACTGCTCAGAAATACAATCATTCCTTATGTGAATAGGGCAACTCTCCTCAGATCTGTACTAATCTATACTGTGGAACATTCTCCACAAAGCAGTGACATTTCCATGGAGACGCCAGGTGGTAGACCCTCCACTAGAAATGTTGCGCAGTGCACCTTTAAAGCATAACATTACGACCACTGACAGGTACAGAAAAGAACACAGAATACATCTTCATTGTCAATTTGCGAAAATGGTAAAGAATTTGAATAATAACTGTGATGTTAAGACAACTGAGCTCATCCAATAACCGAGAAGCTGCTGCATCACAAAGCTGAAGAAATGATTCCTGTGTCCACCCTTACAGGCTCAGTGCAGTCACATTTATCAAAATCATAAAACACAAAACAAACAACCTACAATTAATATTCAAACTGAGTAAATATAAAGAATACCCAATCATTTTTATATGTAAAACACTTCAGTTTGTGGCACTGTTTTAATATTTATTATGCCTCAAAATTTGCATTAGTGTTAGCACTGAGACACAAAAATCTATCTTTCTATTATTTATATTTGTTTTATTTGTGTACTTTTTACCCTCCCCACCCCCAGTTCCCTGTGCACTGTGCACTGCCTTATCTTTAAATATTTATTAATTTTAGCACGACTCTGCAAAAACCACAGACAGGGTGACCAGATGTCCTTGTTTACCCAGGACAGTCCCATTTCTGACAGTCCCAGTTTTGACAGTCCCAGTTTTGACAATCCCAGTTTTGTCCCCTTGTCCCAGCAGATTTATCCAAAACCATTGATTTGTTCCAGTTTTATATAAGAAATGTCCCAGGTATCCCTATTTTTGACCAATTTGATCCTCGCCAACTGTAAAGAGAGGCAGAAATTGTCACTTGTTTAGGTTAAATACAGAGAAGCTGCTTAAAAATGACCAAAACAAAAAGAAAATGTGACTATACTGACTCATGTTCGTCATGAATGGACTGAGTGCAATTTTCCTTAATTACGTACTCGCTTCACAATTTCATTCTTACCAGCCACCCAAAACCGTGAGTGTCCCAGTTTTTGATTTTGAAAATATGGTCACTCTACACATAGAGATAAAATTGGACAGGAAGTAGTGACGTTAACAGTGCACAGAGCCAATTGGCAGTTGGTCGTAATGTTATGCTAGATCAATACTGTAATGTATGTTTCCATTTACATATAGAGTGAGAATGACATGATATTGAGGGCTTGGTCCCTGATGACTCCAGTCTTGGACACAAAATGGCTGCCGCTGGCCATGTTAGCATTGGTCCTTGTGATTGATCCATGCATTTAAAGCCATGACATCCTTCAACTTAGTCTATATACCACCGTCAATATCTTAGGTCCACCATCTTTCTTTCTTTGATTCAATTTTGCGGTGTGCAGTAGTACGTTTGCGATCCACAATAGTAATTTTGTGGCGTCGAGTAGTAGTTGCCATGGTGCTGGTTGCTATAGTTGTTGTTTTGCGGCGTTGAGTAAAAGTTATGGTGATGGTGATGACTTTGGATATTCCCATAGGCGAAGAGCAGGGGGGCGGTGGAGGAGGTGGGCTGGGCGGACATGATAGCGCTACTGCAGTTGCGAGGTATGGAGCCGTACCAGGTGGAGGGGCCCATCTGGGGGGTGGTGGAGAGGAGGCTGGTGCGGTCCGCTCGGCTCGTGATGCTACGGGAGAGGTCGTCATCGCTGTCGTAGCGTCGAGGATTGTCAAAGAAATAGGCACGAGAGCTGAAGCTGTGGCTGTTGATCATACCACCAGGAGCCTGACAGAGAAAATTATTATTAAATATGGAGTCTATATCAATATTAGGTTTATACATTAGAATCACAACTCTACAGTTGCATGTATGTATATTTAGATTTATTTTATTGGACTATTTTTATATACTTTTTAACAGTATTAAGAACAATAATCAATATAATCTGTCTTTAAAGGTCCAATATTACACAACTTTGACTCTTATGAGCTTTAAGCCATGTTATAATGTTACCTCTTTAAAAACATTCCCTGAAATGTGTTTTTGTTTCATTCACACACGTTTGAGGAATCCTTTATTATTAGTTTGTCTACATTTTCAAAGCTCAAAATGCCCTGTTCCACCTTGTGATGTCACGAAGTGGTAGTTTTCAAGTTAACAGCTACTTTTCACTTTGAGTTCAATAGAGGATGCCAAATCCAGGGCTGAAATCATCCAAATGGTTCAAGTGAAGGTGTTATATATTTAGTCTTTTGCAATATTGATGACTGAATCTAATATACAGCCTCCAACATGAAATAAATAGATTCCTTAAATAAATGAAATAAAATAAATTGTACTTGAATAAAAGGGTTTAATGTATGTTTACCAGGTTTTGGTTTGGTTTTTGAACTCGGAAGAAAACCACCACGAGGCTTGTAGGCAGCAGCTCCCAGAAGAAAAGAATGATCCCAAATATAATGTAGGCTTCACCAGTGATTTCCTGCACGTCAGCCTGCAACAAGAACAGTTCTGTATTAAATCTTAATAGTTCTGATGTAACTGGCATGAAAGAAACATGCAAAAGTGTCCTATTTCACAATGTATTAAATAAAAGCTAAATAAATGTATTAAATGATAGAGGGCTAATGATAATGTATTGTGAACCCTTTAAAAAGAATATGAGAAACAAAAATCAGATGTTTTAATTAAGTTTTGTTTGATCAAATTAACACAAAAATGCTATACATTAAAATTAAACATAAAGGTGCACTGTGTAACATTTCTAATGGTGGGTCCACCACCTGATTGGTTTGTCTAGAATGTCCCACAGCATAGTTTAAACCTGCATATCACAAAGGAGACAGGCAGGTTATAGTACTATGGTACATTACAAGTCAGGTCTGTGAAGAGGCGCTGATATTCATAGAAGGAGTTACTGTATTTTTGAGGAATAGAAACACCCGTAATGAATAAACGCTATATGGTTTAAAGTCATACCATGGAACATTCCAGGCTCAGCGATCATGCTCCACCAGAAAGGTTGCTCAGTGCACCTTTAAACAGCACAAACACTAAAGCAGACCCAACACAAGGCTACATTATGACTAAATCAACGCCGAAGGCCATATAAATATTTTAAAACACAACATGTCTATTTTAGGCTCTCTTTGTTAGATTTTTGCATTATGGCAATGTACAGTTTCTTTGCAAAATGGGTACTGCAAGATGTAATATAACAATAATTTGGCCCAAACAGTGTATTATTGACTCTAGTTTTAATTTGCAGTATACACTATACATAGGGCTGTCACGGTATATACTATATCAACTGTTTACCTATAGCAGCTCATATCTTTTAATCATACTGTACATTTAAAATAATTTTTCAGGTTTAAATTTGCTATATATAACACAATTCAAAATGTGTTATCATGACAGCCCTAACTATATACTTTTGCAGATCTAAAGCAACTACTTTGTACTCATTGTATAGGTGAATGTATATTTTTAAACATGTTTATATAGTGCATTGACAGCTGGTATACCCATAGATTACAGCTGTAATTTGTAATATCAGATTATAGTGATCATGGGGGGGAGAGAGAGCGACAGCCCTTTGAATCTGCCTATCTCCAGTCCTGAGCCATCATGATGTAGGTCAACACATTCACACACGCACTCACACACACATAGGAGATATTTATAGTCAAACAAAGCCCTTTAACCCTTTAAGCTCTACCAACCCCCCAAATCACATGAAAGGAAGAGTAGAAAAATCAATGTACCTGATCAGAAACACTGTACCAGCCGTAGTTAAAAGGGTTGGGCTTGTCTTGTGGTGACAAAGATACCACCACTAGGTTGTAGCACGCTCTGGAAACGTATAGGAGAATTACAACAGCTCCTATGACGGTAGCTTGGCACACCGATGTCCCCTAAAAAATATCATCAATTCATGTTAATGCATAAAACTTAACTGAATTTTCAAAGGGTCTATGTTACACTATCTTCTGATCTATGTTATAATGTAGTTTCCTCATCACAAACAGACCTGGAGTTGTGTTTCGTTTTCGTTTTAACGCACAAAATCTACATATTTAGGGTCTTGATTTCTTCTCTCAGACAGAAAACACCCTGTTCCACCCTGTGATGTCATGTGCTAATACAGGAAGTGCTCCACTGTGTTTATAAAGCCTGTAGACCTTCATTAGAATATTTGGACGATTTCAGATCTGGAATCGCTAATCTCTACTGAACTAAAGGTAAAAGGTAGGTGTTAACTTGAAAACTACATCTTTATGACATCACAAGGTGGAACAGAGCATTTTGAGCTTTGGAGATGTAGACAAAAATAAAGGATTACTCAAAAATGTGTGAATGAAACAAAACACAACTCCAGGTATGTTTTTGATGAGGAAACAAGATTATAAAATGGCTAAAAACTGTGTAACATAAGACCTTTAATATGGGGTTTGTATTGTTACCTTTGATTCTAGGTAAACATTAGCTGAAGACATCTTGGCGATTTTAAAGATGCAAACAGCGAGAGAGATGGCACAAAGGACAAACAGGCTGTCGTTGATCAGGACCCGTGCCAAAACAGCATGTCGGATAGTAGCGTCACTGCACACACACAGAGGAGTGAATATATTTGTAGCAAATAGTACACAAGCATATTTAGGGTGATGTGATTATGTTGGTGCACTTAGTATTTTTATATTAGGGTGAAACTTAAAGGTGCATTGTGTAACTGTTTGATTGGGGGTCGGTCACTTGCTTTCTTCTATGGATATGCCATTGCTCTGCCTGGAATGTTCCACAGTATGACGTTAAACAAATCAACCTTACATGGATTCAGTTACAGGTGGTTTTATACCTTCAAAATATCTAGTAAAACAGGCATTCTGACTTTGTGCGGGGTCACCTCTCCACAGACCTGACCTGTAACTTTGCCTGGTTTGGTCTCCATGAAAATAAAAAGGTTTATAATATCATACTGTGAAACATTCCAGCAATAACATCTGCAACATCTGAGAAAAGCATTTGACAGACTCTCCACCAGAAAAGTTAGACAATGCACCTTTAAGCTTTCGTCTTCATCTGAGAGTTTACACATCACTGTGATTGGTTATATTTACCTGTCACTCAATCAGGATTTAAGGATGACCAATAAGAGACTGTAATATCACAGCCTCAAGTCAGCATTAGCCATTGTTTTTCTGTTATTCACTCTCACTTTTTTGCTGAAAATCACACATCTTAACGGGACAATGCACGCTCGTATTGATCACAGACTAGTGAAAATTAGTTCTTTTAAATCAGTTTCATATTTCATGCTTTAAACTTTGATCTTAAAACATTTTAAGTAGTGTTTGCATTGTGTCACCATGGTAACTGCAGAACATTCGGCCATAGACATCCATGCAGTGCAAAGTATCGATAATATTTGTGCTTTTGTACTTTTTCTCCTTGCCCCAACTTTCTGTGTTCATAAGAGTTTCATTTTGAAAGCTTCCTTACCTTGGTGATTCCGAGCGTTCCAGAGCTCCTTGCACTAACAACGCACATGTAATATTCACCACCAGGAAAAATATACTTAGACTCAGGAAGAACAATCGCAAGGGGACCCTGGAGACACAAGAGGAAGTTGTTAAATCCTACTTAAGAGGCATTAAAATAGAAACAGTGCAGACTTACTTGTACTTATTAAGCTCAGGGGAATACTTTGCTTTGGCCTTGAACATGACCTTAAAAAACAAGCAAAAGCAGGTCAGGTCAGGTGGGTCGTGCTGGGAGAGGAGTGTGAACTTAACATGGCCCAAGGAGATTCCTGGGCTATGACATGCATTCAGCAGAAAATAAGTGCCAGTCAGTGGTGGAAGAAGTACTTACTTGTATAAATACTGAAGAAAAAAATTTAAAGTAAAAGTATCAGATCTACTTAAATAAAAGTTTTAAAGTACCTGTACTTAAATAGTAAAAAGTAAAAGTATTTTGTGCAGATTTTGAGGTCTTATCGGGCTTCAAATGTATTGATTTTGATAAAGATTTGAGCTGAATATTGTTCAATAGAAACCATTGAATCAACAGTTTTTTCCTAGCTGTTTTTATTTGTATATTTTTGTTTGCTCAGATTATGAATGTGTTCAAAATAAAACTTCAGCCTTTTTCAGAAGGTCTCAAACAATAATGAGAAAGACTTATACTTTTCAGTCCAGTTAAAAAATGTGATGAAGAAGAAAGTACAGACACCTACTCTCAAATGTAGTGACTTAAAAGTAAAAGGTATCCACTTGTACTTGTAAAGTACTTAAGTAAAGTACAGATACCTAAAATGTATACTCAAGTACAGTATTTGACTACTATTACCTTCCACCACTCATGTCATTCATCATGTAACAATCTGTCCTATGGCACTGAGCAAACAACTGCCTCAACAAACATGAAAATGTGCATAAGTTCATCCAGTGCAAAACACTAGCTGCCCTAGATTCACTTCACTTACTTTGTGGAATGGTGTTGGTGCACAACGTATCCAAAACAAACAAAAAAATTCCATGTACAGCTGAATTGCACTCAGATTTTTTGTTGAAAATTTAAACAATTTAAATTCAAGGTTTGGTCCACAACATTCACATTTTAAACATGTAAAGGAGCAGTGCATTTGGAGAGAAGCCTAAAATATGACCTGTTTAACTATTGAAAGACACATTTGCATTTCAGGGCATGTTTGCAGAGATCCAAACTGCAAGATTTCATAAGGCCGCATAAAGACAAGAAATAGTTTGAAAATGTAAAACTGCAGCTTTATTTCCAACTCCCATTTAAAAACAACACGGAATGACCAAAGTGCTTACAAAACATAACAATTAAAAATAATAAAAACAACATATGTGTGCCACCCATATAACTGCAGCCTTCAGAATGATGAGATATCTGCATAAATTGTGATTTTAATTTAATAGCAATTACAGTCTTAATTTAATATATTTCAGTGTAATAGTTCAAATTATTAATGTCATAATTTAATATAAGGTAGTGTGAAATATTGGAAAGAGAACCCAATTGACAATTTGAGTCATTTTGCCAGAGCTAAAATAAGTACATAAGCTATATATAAGTGTTTATAGAGTAGTTTATAGTTTTACAAGCATTGTGTGTGTTAGAGGAAGCTATTGTGAAAAAAAAAACAGAAGGAAATCATGAGGTCTGGTTTTAGAGTCATCAGAAATCTCGTGTGAATCTGTGTCAGGTATATACGCTGTCACAATTGAGTGGTGACTGTCCTTTGAATAGGCCAGATTGCAAAAGCATTAGTAAGCAATTTTACTATTGCACTGAACTTCTGAACACTGGAAAATATTTAGAAAGAATGAATAAAGTACATGGTCATTTTATTAGAGTAACTGCAAAAACTAATATTTCTCTTACTGGGTAAATAGTTTTTTCGAAAACATAAAGGACAAGGGAGTGATAGCATGCTGATACCAAAAATGTTGCTGGATCATATCTCATTTCCGTAATACTGGTTAAAATGATATCATGGTTTGGCCTTTAATTGGCAATAAGACTATCTACAGGCTGATTTTGGCCTAGAAAGTCTTATCATGTTTTATTCATATGAAGCTATTTAGTAGCGATTTGAGAAATAAATAACCATTCTATAACACAACTGAATCTCTTGTGTGATGAGCAGACACTTAAAGTTTCAATATCGGTCGAGAAACTGAAAAAGCTGGATCGTTGCATCCCTATAACAACGATTATAATAAAAAAAATACTCTTTATTTAGACAATAGAATGTGATTTTCACAACTCCGGGAGGACTTCTCCCAGATTCCGGGGGAGGCTGGAGATATGGAGTCCGAGTGGGCTTCATTCTCGGCCTCTATTGTTGATGCGGCTGCTCGGAGCTGTGGGCGTAAGGTCTGTGGTGCCTGTCGCGGCGGCAATCCCCGAACCCGGTGGTGGACACCGGAAGTAAGGGATGCCATCAAGCTGAAGAATGAATCCGATCGGGCCTTGCTGGCTCGGGGGACTCCTGAAGCAGCTGACGGGTACCGGCGGGCCAAGCGTGCTGCAGCCCGTGCGGTTGCGGAGGCAAAAACTGGGAGGAGTTCGGGGAGGCCATGGAGGAGGACTATCGGACGGCCTCAAAGAGATTCTGGCAAACCGTCCGGCGCCTCAGGAGGGGGAAGCAGTTCTTCGCCAACACTGTTTACAGTGCGGGGGGAGAGCTGCTGACCTCGACTGGGGACGTTGTCCGGCGGTGGAAGGAATACTTTGAGGATCTCCTCAATCCCACAGTCACGTCCTCCGAGGAGGAGGCCGAGGCTGGGGACTCGGAGGCGGACTCATCCATCACCCTGGCTGAAGTCACTGAGGTGGTTGTAAAGCTCCTTGGTGGCAAGGCTCCGGGGTTGGATGAGATCCGTCCTGAGTACCTTAAGTCTCTGGATGTTGTGGGGCTGTCTTGGTTGACACGCCTCTTCAACATCGCGTGGCGGACGGGGACAGTACCTCTGGACTGGCAAACCGGGGTGGTGGTCCCTCTGTATAAGAAGGGGGACCGGAGGGTGTGTTCCAGCCTTCCGTGTAAGGTCTATGCCAGGGTACTGGAGAGGAGAATCCGGCCGATAGTCGAACCGCGGATCCAGGAGGAGCAGTGTGGTTTTCGTCCTGGCCATGGAACACTGTACCAGCTCTACACTCTCCATCGGGTGCTCGAGGGTTCATGGGAGTTTGCCCAACCAGTCCACATGTGCTTTGTGGACTTGGAGAAGGCATTCGACTGTGTCCCTCGTGGTGTCCTGTGGGGGGTGCTCTGGGAGTATGGGGTCCGGGGCCCTTTGCTAAGGGCTGTCCGGTCCCTGTATGACCGGAGCAGGAGCTGTGTTCGCATTGCCAGCAGTAAGTCAGACCTGTTCCCGGTGCATGTTGGACTCCGCCAGGGCTGCCCTTTGTCACCGGTTCTGTTCATTGTGTTTATGGACAGAATTTCTAGGCGCAGTCAGGGGCCGGAGGGGGTCCGGTTTGGGGACCACAGGATCTCATCTCTGCTGTTTGCAGATGATGTTGTCCTGTTGGCTTCATCGAACCAGGACCTGCAATGTGCACTGGGGCGGTTTGCAGCTGAGTGTGAAGCGGCTGGGATGAAGATCAGCTCTTCTAAGTCTGAGGCCATGGTTCTCGACCGGAAAAAGGTGGCTTGCCCTCTCCGGGTGGGTGGGGAGTCTTTGCCTCAAGTGGAGGAGTTCAAGTATCTCGGGGTCTTGTTCACGAGTGAGGGAAGGACGGAACATGAGATTGACAGGCGGATCGGTGCAGCTTCGGCAGTGATGCGGTCGCTGACCGTTGTGGTGAAGAGGGAGCTGAGCCGAAAGGCGAAGCTCTCGATTTACCGGTCAGTCTTCGTTCCTACTCTCACCTATGGTCATGAGCTCTGGGTAGTGACCGAAAGGACGAGATCGCGGATACAAGCGCTTGAAATGGGTTTCCTCCGCAGGGTGGCTGGGCGCTCCCTTAGAGATAGGGTGAGGAGCTCAGTCACACGGGAGGAGCTCGGAGTAGAGCCGCTGCTCCTCCACCTCCCTCGGGAGGTGTTCCGGGCATGTCCCACCGGGAGGAGGCCCCGGGGAAGACCCAGGACACGCTGGAGGGACTGTCTCTCGGCTGGCCTGGGAACACCTCGGGGTCCCCCCGGAGGAGCTGGAGGACGTGTCTGGGGTGAGGAAGTCTGGGAGTCCCGGCTTAGGCTGCTGCCCCCGCGACCCGGCCCCGGATAAGCGGACGAAAATGGATGGATGGATGGAATGTGATTTTCAACACGGTACTCAAGCATCCCTCAGTCTTCTACTAGTCTATGTGGTTTTATACTTGTTCTGATACAGCTCAAAGTCATTCAAAAGTTGTTCAGGAAAGATTCACTTCTGTACTGTAAATGTGACTTTTCAGTATTGATTCTTGCTCAAATTAGTATTTAGTTTAGATAGTAGTTTTAGTATCAGTTTGTATTAGTATTAGTATTTTCAATACTTCTGACAACTCTACATAGTTCAAGGAATAGGTGTACTCGTAATTAGTAGAAGATATTAGTAGTTGTAGATGTTGTAATAATAGTAGTAGATGTCGTAATAGTAGTAGTAGATGTTGAAATAGTAATAGTTTCTTTACAAGCAATATTTTCTCAGAAGAACTCTTACATTTGTACACAGTTTAGTACACATATCGTGAGCATAGAACATGCAATTGTTGTAGCAAATAGAAAGTTATTTACAAAGGTAAGCAGGGAGGTTCAGCAAGAGGATTACCTGAATTCAACTTAATATTTTATTGACTTACTCATTGCATAAGACTTGTTCTGATCTGCCTTTTGCACATACAGTAATTCCCTGTGCATTATGTTTTGTACCTTGTATGAAATCTATTGCATAATCAAGAGTCCAAAAAAAAGCAAAAATCCTACTTCAAAGAAAGAATGATATTTTTCCCAAGTAAAATCTTTTCTTTTTTGACTATTTAACTCAAGTTAGATTTAATCTATTGGCCTTACCGGGCTAATTTAAAGGTCCTATATTACGGAAACTTGACTTTTGTGAGCGGTAAGCCATGTTATAATCATGTTTAGCTCCTCAAAAACATACCTGGATTTGTGTTTTGTTTCATTCACACATGACTGATTAGCCCTTTATTATTGCTAGTCTGACATCACAAGGTGGAGCAGAGTGTTTTCTGTATTAGGAAAACTCAGCCTAAATATGCAACTCCAGGTATGTTTGTGACGTGGAAACAACATTATAACATAAATCAGAAAATAGTGTCATATGGGCCTTTTAATTCCATGCAGGAAAATATGTTCACAGGTTATAAATGGCCTTTAATGACACATCAATTGACACTTAAGTTTTTCCTCTTTCCATTTATACGTTGCCATGGCACTGGTCAGCTGACAGACACGGCAGTCATGTGACGTGTCCATTTCAATACCTATTCAAAACTAGGGCAGCATTTTGGCCAAGACAGACAACTTCCTCTTTGGGGTATTTTGCAGGTTTTAAACAATGGTAGAAGTGATACTATTGCTACTACTGTATGTGGGAAAACAAACTACAGTAGTCCTTGACATTTGCAGTGGGCAGGTGTTGAACAAGAGTGACCGACCAGCTGTGTCCCTATGCCCCCCCTCATGCCCCCTCCTCCTCTCTCTCCGTCTTTCACTCTATATATCCCCCTCATCTCCCTCTTTCTCTCTCTCAGACATTCAATCTCTCTCTCTCCTCTCTCTCTTTCATCCTGTTTATATCTCTCTCTCTTTCTCTGTCTTTACATCTCTCAGTCACTCTCTCTCCATCTATTCCTCTCTCCTTTTCCCTCTGTCTATCTTTCTCTGTCTGTCTCTCATACTCTATTTCACCCTCCCTCTATTTCTCTCTCTCTTTCATTCTCTCTATCCTTCCCTCCCTCTATTTCTCTCTCTCTTTCCATCTTGCCCACTATTGTCCTCCTATCCTGGGCAAGCAGCTCAAGCTTTTATCCTGTCTTCCTCGGACATAAGACAAAGTGCTCGTCTCCAATGAACCAAAGCAGAACTCTGTATGGAACAATCTGACCACATTTTCCATAATATCCAAACAGTAATATATTTATTTATAACAGCAGTAAGTGGACAACATCAACTGCTTAAGATGCTTGATGAACTATTACAAAGAGATTAGACAGCAAATTACCACTTTTAATTAGTGAAATGAGTTAAACTAAATGTGCAAGATCTTAATGAGACTAATCAAATCAAACAAAGGGTGATCTAGCAAACAGACCTAAATCATTAATAATAGGACTTAATAGCTCTAAAATAAATAACAACTGTGAACCATCTGAAGAGGCTTATGCATTTGCACGCTATGGTGATTATTGTCAAATATGTCTGACTTAGACTGGACAAATTGAAGCCTGCAGGGTAAACTATACAGTGCTATGATGTATGTATACAGTTTGTTTGTTAGGGCTATCAGTGATGTCAATAAATAAATGTTTGGAGGGGCAGTAATTGATCGAACAAATTCTCATTTTGCAATCCTGCCCTGTTTTATGTAATACACTCCCAGCTTATGAAACTTGGGGCTCTATAATTCAAAATCAATGAAGATGATTACATTCTTCAACCCCCATGTGAAAAGGCATGATATTGAACCTAAGTTAATTATGAAGCCATGATGAGATTTGACTGTATGGTGAGTGTGTATCTTTAGGGGGTGCTGCAGTAGTGGAGAACAATGGAGCAGCGTAAAGCCATGGAAAGTCAAATAAAGGAGCCGAATTGTGCAAAATGGGAATAGTGGTTTGAAATGTAATTAATATAAAAGCCATAGAAACTGCGGAGTCAGCTGTATTGCTGAAATCAGGTCATAGTCAAAGGCACTGCACTCTCACACACACATACACACAAAGAGATGGAGGAGAAGAAGGGGGTGTGTACCTACCTGTGTGAAGTACAGATTGAGCAGGCATAGGGTGAAGAATTGTAGGCAGACTGGGCAACAGTACAGCACCCAATAGGCCAGGGGCTGGAGTTGATTGGCCTGCACCATATTTTGGAAGTAGAATGAGAATAGAGTGGTTCTAAGAGCTGCCCATAGCAAACACAAGAAGAGAAAAACACTCTGGTAGCTGAACCGTTTGTGTCCATAGTGCAAAATGAGCCAAAGCTGCAGGTAGACAAAAATAAATAGGAAAGAGTACAAAACGGTGTATAACGTTGTCAGGCTTAGCTCTAGTGTTGGAGAGATTGCAGCTCCAGTAGGGGACTCCTTTTGTGAGGTAAACAACAAGGAACTGACTTCATCCCCCGCAGCAAACATCTCCACGGACGCTTGTTTTAACGCATTACGCACACCAAAAAGGCAAAAATACAGCAAACTGGGTCAGAGCTGTGCCAATACCATCGTAGACAACAACAAATAAAAGCAGGATATTCTGAAAAGAAGTGGCATATTGGAAGTGCGTTTGTGTTGAAATCCGATTAAGAAGTAAAAAATAAGGCAATTGTTTTAAAATAAGGAGGAAAGGGGGAAGAAAACAACAAGAAGAAAAGATCCCCCTGTGAATCCTGCAAAGCTCCTCTGCAAAAAACAACTTGAGGGGGGGAAAGCTTCAGATCAGCTGTGATGCAGTTTACGGCCCGCCCCCCTCGCTCTCAATTCACGATGAAACTGCAGCATCATGAGCCGCCATTTTGGGTTGCACAAGGCTTGTTTTTCACGCAACTCATCCAGTCTTTAGAGCCAGAGATTTCACCCAGTTTCCGAACCAAAGCTCCCAAGTGAAAAACACCCTCACGCCCACTTAGCCATCCTTTCATCTGATTGGTTTGTTGTTTGGCCCAGCCTCTGCGTTTTCAAGTCTACGATTGGTCTAAAATGATGTCAGCTGCTAAAACGCCCGCCCCCTGCGCTTTTTTGATTTTTCATTGGTTGAAATAAAAAAACGTCCTTTTTGTGATTGGTTAGAATTTCACGTGGGCTTCTTTTCACAGGAAGTAAGGTTTCAAAACAATTTACAGAAAACAGCATCAAGTTTGCATGAATGTGAGTGAAAATGACAATTTTTTTCCTTCAAAATAATCTTTATAAACGTCACAAAAACGGTTTAACTCTAAATTGGCGCTATATATCATCGCATATAAGCCTGTTTACGTTGATCGATGTTATAATCGGTAGCGTTTTACCCAGCACCCGCGATCATATCTGCATTGTTTAGGCCACTGAAACTGGTATAGCATTAATTTGAAATAGAATAGGAAATTGCTATGCATAATTGTGGGCAGCTGAGCATGTATTTATGGAATATAATGAAAAAAGAAATGAAATAAAGACTGAAGTATGAGAGAGAGTAGTAAAAATGAAATTTGATCTAGTAGAGCTATTGTAAAAGCACCCAAATAATAGAAGTTTCAATGGTTTATTTACGTTTTTGAGACATATTAATGTGATTAACCGGATTTGATTAATTGTATCATTTTAATTCATTGTTATTGCTTACTTGTTATTTCATTGTTATTATTAATAGTATTTTTGTATGTATGTATTTATTTTTTTGTTATTAGCGTTTCAGTTCACACTCCTCATCGGTTGGTGGCGATACACTACTCGAAGACGAAGACAGTGTTGCCAGATTGGGTGTAATGATTTCCGCACAATCACGTTCGAAAACCCGCCCTCTTCAGCACAAAACAAAAAAACGCAAAGTTTTGGCACAGAAAACATTTAATCTTTGAATAAACGTATGTAATCCATTGTTTTTAAAAACATTGTCAGTATTGAGAAAACATGTTAAATGTAGAATAGCATTTTAAATTATCACAGAAATTTTATATAAAAATGTTGTAGGCTTTTTAAAAACATTGCCAATATTGAGAAAACATGTTATATAAAACCTTTGGTAAAACGTAGAATAGCGTTTTCATCACGCATAAAATGAATCAGTCATCAACGGTAGGCTATAGCCTAGGCTACTGTGAGAACAGGTGGCAAACCCAGAGCCTGCCTACTCATACAATTATACTGAATCTCTGCAACAGCTGCCGGGGAGGTCTGAACGTAGCGGACGTCCATTCATTTCTGTACAGGTTGGAGCGCACCTCCATAAAACTCATACGGTTCCTTGCGTTATTGCGTATCGCGTTTTTATTGGTGTGAAAATAAAATCCGCCCAAACTTGCTGAAAGTAGCCCAAATATTATCTCAGCCTGAGTCTTCCCCTACTCATCCGACGTAGTCAAAAAAAAAAAAAAAAAAAAAAAAAAAAAAGCCTGCCCGCCTAATCTGGCAACACTGGAAGAAGAAGAAATCGCAATGCTCATCGGCTGGTTCTGTGAGCATCTCTCCGCAAAGCAATAAAAACAAGAATTTTATATTTTGTGGTCTTTTCTGTGACCATGCATTAATCTGCACGTCAATTACTGGTTCACATCAGGTACGTAACACCTGGCAACTTTTTTTTACAGTTTTAGTCTAGTCAGTTGGCTTTGGATGTGTTATGTAACATAACATTTTCAGTATATGGTAAAGGAGTAAAGGGATAATTATTATTACGACTTTTAATTGCCAGATTTTTTGTATTTTATTCCTTTTTAGACTCTGCCTCATAAACCATTATGGCTTCGTGGCTGTATGCTGCTGTGCTCCTGCTGTGTACCAGGTCAGGAGGATGCATGGAAAAGGCCAATATCTCAAATCTCATTGAATTCACAGCTGCAGATTTCTATGATAAACTTTATTCTGGGAGGATGATGTTTATGTATTTTGAAAGCGAAGGTAATGACTTATCAAATAACAATGACACAAATGTGTAAGTGCTCTTCTATTACAAGGTAATGTTTTGATTTGCAGTTCCTCCATCCATCTCCATCTTCCTGGTGGAGTTGGAGAAGTCTGCTGATGTACTTAAAGATTATGGCGTGCTGGTTGGTAAGGTAAGTAAGCGCTTATACCATGGACACCAACTGAAATGTCTCACCTGTGACTCTGAAAAACGTGTTCACTGTCTGTAAATGTCTCAAATATCAGTTTTTTCTGTGTTATAAACTGTTCTAGGGAGCACATTCCTACCAAGCCCCTACGCCGAAACATGTCTGCCCAAGTCAGCCAAGCTCAAGGGTGACTGGGGGTGGGGGGGTGATTAAGGAGAACTTTACACGCATTTCTCAGTGCAGTTCAGCAGGAGGACTGATCAGGTAGGGTCAGCAGATCCTGTGTCAGGATAGTTTGAGGAGAGGAAGAGCCACGGTTCTGCTCTACAAAGGCAAAAGACCTTAACTCGGCAGAGTGAGAAACTGAGAAAAATGACTTCAAAGTTTCTGTTTTGTCCAGACAAAAGTATAATAGGTAGGGCTCCCAAAATCTGACAACTAGTTGCTATAATGAAGAAATATTGAGCTCAAAATTGACTTTTGACCGTTATTTAGCAGTTACTGTACTCTGCCAAAAAAGTAACTGACATTATCTTACAAAATGGGAATAGTGCATTCTTGCATTAATAGATAGATTTGCTTGATTTTCTCCCAACTTCCATCCATTATAAAAACACCTCACCAAGCTCTAGTCATCATGATGTTTGTTTGAAATGATATAGAAGACCTTTGGATTTCCTGTTTAGTACTGATCAGGAGCGTGCGGCGACACTTACACAGTTAAACAGTTTGACACACAAATTACTTTGCATTATAGTATGTACAATATGAATAAATACTCTAAATACTTTCATATTAAAGATAATTGAATACAAAGGTATATTTATTCAATGTGTTAAGAAGACTGTTTCAAAGCCGCAACAAAAAGGAGGCAAGAGGTTGAATTTTAAAATAAAATATACTTATTAATTAAATCACAAACAAGACATGAAACATACACAATAGCTTTCTGCTTACTTATGGTTTGTTTTGTTTGTTTAAATGTCATTATTACTTTATTACTGAACTGTTCTTGTGAAATTATTTTCCCATTTAATAGAATTTAAATGACCAAATAAATAAAGTATTGTTGCATGAGATTTGCATATTGTTACGTACATCCCTACTAAATTGTAAGTTTGTTGCATATTTTTAGGTCAACTGCAATAAAGAGACAGTTTCCAAATATTGCTCAGGAGACAAAGTATTACAAACAGCCTTTCTTTTCAGGTATAATGGCATGTGTAACAGTGTATTTATTTAAATGTTTTTAAGCACAAAAACTTACTAATTATTGTCCCCTCAGAAGCGGAAAGGAGTATCTGAGTTTTAATCTGGATACTGTTTTTGATGTCAATGCCATTGTATCAGAAGTCTTATTGTAAGCATCTCACACACTTAATTCTATATTTTTTAAATATAAATAAAACTGACCTTTATGTTTTCATTGTTCCAGTGCAATCCTGCGTGACGAGGTGAGATATGTCCACACTGACACTGACCTGTTGGCGATGGAGAAAAGCGTCAAAGGAAAGAAGGATATTGTATTAGGTTATGTCAGCAGTCTGGGGACTCAAGGTATTTACAAATAGAAAATAGTGACCTTGATTCAAATATTTAATAGACCATACAAACCAGCGCAAGTATCGGCACTACATGAGAAAAGTACAAAATGTAACTGTTAATTCATTTATCAAACTGGATAAAATTATTTATGAATGACAAGGACAGAAATCAGACTTTTCTGCAACTATGGTTTGTTTTCTTTAAATATCATGAGAATGCATGAGAAAAGTACAGTTGTCTTATTCTCTATTATTTTATCTTTAGAACACAGGTCAATTATGGAGACAGCGTTTGTGTATGGATCAAAATACCAGTTTATTCTCATAACTGGAGGTCCTGTACTAAAACACCTTGGGTAAGTCAGCACTTCTTTTCTCATGTTACACGTATAAATTAAAGGTGCACTGTGTTCCTTTTCTAGTGGAGAGTCTGCCACCTGCTTGTCTCCATAAGGATGTTATTGCTTTGTCTAGAATGTTTCACACTAGAGATTAAGCCTATCTGTCTCAAGGAAGACAACTATAGGTTCCATTACAGTTCAGATCTGTGGAGAGAGAATCCTATTCAGAGAGTATTATTGCATTTTTGAGCAATAGAAACACCCAGATAATTTCTAGATAAATGTGTTTAATGTCATATCATGGAACACTCTAGGCAAACAATAACATCTTCACGCTGACAAGCAGGTGACGGACCCTCCTCTAGAAAAGTTGAACAATGTACCTTTTAATATTATGTATACTGTATTTTATTTATTTTTTCAGTATAAGTAGTACATCTCCCTCTGCACGAGTATGGGTCCTGCACTGTAGAGAACAGAAGGCCACCATCTCTGACCGATGCCCTTTGACTCCAATGAGAAAACCACTGTCCACTCTTAATCTACACTCCTTCCTTCAGCTTGTTGACACTCCTTTACTGGTGCATAATGTGAAAAAGTATTGACACTTTGCAGCTGATCAACATTCCTTGGGGCGTGTGGTGCTAACTGTAGACCCTTCTCTGTCTGAGGCTTTATAAGACTTTAATCTGTGCTTTATTTTAACACAATCTGACCATAAAAAACTGACTTAGTTAGACTTGGATCTAAAACAGGTGAACTGATTTTTGCTGTTAAACAAGTCTCACACATAAACAGTTTTTCAGTTACTCACCATTTTAGTTGAAAATCAAACATCTTAACAGGACCATAAACACTTATACTCACAGGCTCTTGAAAGTTAGTTCTTAGTTGTTTAAATTCATTCTGTATAAATTTATTTGGCTGTGTTTGCTAATGTGTGCATTGTGTCTCCATGGTAACTGGTGAACATTCCGCCAATACACATACATGTTGAACACCCCCAGAGTGATCGCACTGCAGCATGTCAATTGAGAATATATTCTGTTTTCCCCAAAAGATTGCACATTATACACATTCTTCCTCTTTCTTTTCTAGACCGAGATGCATGAAGACCCCTCAAAAATACCACCATCCCAACATGTCCCTCAGGTTTTTTTGTTCTCACTTCCTGAAACTAAAGATATTGACAAGGAAACTGCTCACATGTTGGCATGGAAACTCCGAGGACTCGCCCAAGTGGTGCTCATACACAGGTAGCAGCATAATTATGATCATATGTCTAATATGCGATTTTAATAACTAAGTAATACTAATAACATTACATAATAACACACCTTACATTTAAAGCTGCACTATGTAACTTCTAAGGTGGAAACTTGCTTGTCTCCATGGAGATGTTATTACTTTGCCTTGAGTCTTTCACAATTGGGCATTAAGCATATCTCCCTTGCATTTGTTCAATTTATTTATTTCAATTTATAGCTCAAAAATACCTTAAAAACCATGAATTTGTACCATGTGCTGGCTTGCTTCTCCATAGACCTGAATATTAACCTGTCTCCATTGTAATTACCAAGTTTATTTCCATACTGCAAAATAATAAAGGCAAACAGTAATATCTCCATGGAGACAAGCAGGTGGTGGACTCTCCACCAGAAAAGTTACACAGTGCAACTTTAAATACATATCAAAAAGTATGACATTAAAATCTGTAAGAGAAAAATGCTGAAAACCATAGAAAAAAAAACCAAAGCATTATGTTGGGGTAAAAATGGCATTCATTTATTTATTTTATTTATTTTTATTTTTTTAGTGAAAGTCTTGCTGTTGAGACTCTTAAGCAATACAATGCTGCTTACAGGCTGCCTGGAAAGGTACTGTGCCATTAGCAATAAGTCAAATTCCCATGCCCATGTAAAGGTATTAAAGTTTTTGGTATTAATATGTGGTTTGTGCATCCAGGCTTTAGAATATTTGACCTTACACAGCACTGAGGAGGTGTTGGAGCTTTTTCCAAATGAGGACACAGAAAAAGTTGCTGAAACGGAAGAGTCAGAAGAATTTGAGGACTTTTTTGGTATTTATCATAAATTCACATTCAGTAAGAAGTTAATAATAATTATTGAAGATTCTGTAAATAATCATGTCCCATATTTTGCATTCAGACCAGTTGGACGATGAAGTTGCTGCCTCTGTGTATCGGAAACGAGCAGAGGAGCTGGACATGGATGTTTTCACAGTACTCAATACGCAGAATTTTCACCGTGTAGTAGCGCAAAGCAGCCTGACGGTGGCACTGTTCTACTTGAAACGTGAGCTACAAAACCACCGCACAGATAAACAAAAAAATGCTATCCACTGGTTTGTTCTGTCTTTAAATTAATTTGTGTGTTTTGGTCTTTTCACCCCTAGAGGATGCTGTTTCAAAGGCTTTCCTTGAGCCTTTTGTTGAAGTAGCAGAAAGCCTGTTAGGTAAGTGTGATTTAAATACAGAGGTGGATAGATGGATAAAATTTTATGCAAGTATGAGTATCATTCGCCCAAATAATTACTCAAGCAGTACAAGAGTAAAAAATATTGGAAATTTTCTGAGTAAGAGTAAGAAGTATTTGGAGAAAATACTACTTGAGTATCTTAAAATTAAGAATAACATTGGATGTACCATTTGAAGTCAGTGTAACTATAAACAAAACACATCTGGTAATTTCAAAGGACAGACCACAACAATTTGAAAAATTCAGCTATGTTTGAAGGAACTGTGGAAGAATCTGAAATGTTCAGGTAATTTAATATGTCAACACACTCACTGTGGGAAGTCTTTTAGTCTAGTAAAAGTACAGTTACACTGTTGCATATAATACATATGCATATACATATAATAGTTTATTGTGAATTATGGTGCTTGAAACCGACTAAGTGAATTACAGTTTTATTAAAGTTACTCTAGTACATGTAACTGAATTGTACCCACTCCTGACTAACTAATATAAACCCCACCACTAAGCTAATTGATTGATTCTTTTCAGATGCAGATGTTGACGATGTCCAGATGTGTGCCGTGAATTGTGGAGAGTGGACAGATCTTTGTGCTGCACAGTCTGGCACAACCGAGCCGTTTCCCTTTCAGCCAATCACAGCGTTCCCCGCTGTTATGATGCTCCGACCCCAAGAGCCTGCTCAGCGCTACAAAGGGATGCTATCAAGCCAAGCTGTACCGTTTTATCCTACTGTAAGTTCCCATAAGTCGTAAACTCAATTAAAAAGTTCAACTAAGACAAATATTTTGATAAAATATCCAAAACAACTCAATTACATATCCCTATAGAGTTCTTGAAGCATTTGAACTTCCTGTCTTTGAAAATACAGACTTATATAAAACCGAATAAGTCCCCTAAATTAAAAACATATACTGTGTGTTGTCCATTCCAGTCATTTCGTACCAACCAAAACATGACCCTGGCCTCTTTATTTCTTTATGACTGTTGAACTGCTCTAGGCAATCCTATGGGAGCTGTCACACTATGGATTTACTCTGTAAGGTCTTTAAAAATATGTTTCAGATTTGCAGTGCTCTAAAGGGCTTTTCTCAAATATCAAGGGGCATACATTTTAGTTACATTTCCTGCAGTGGACATAGGGATTTAACATAGTCTTCTTTATACTGGGCAGCAGTGTTTTTTTTATCTTTATCTAGTCCAGATTTAGCAGATGGTGTTCCTTTTTGTCATTTTATTGAAAGGAAAGTGTCATTGCTCTACTTGGAATGTTCCACAGTATGACATTAAACAGCTTTACAGATGGTTTTATAACTCAAATACCAAGAAAAACAGGCATTCTGACTGAGCGGGATTGCCTCTTCACAGATCTGACCAGTAACTTGGTCTGGTTTGGTCTCCCTGTTGATAGAAAGGGATAATGTCATACTGCGAAACATCTCAAATAACATCTCCATGGAGAAACCCAGGTGATGGACCCTCCACTAGAAAAGTTACTCAATGCACCTGAGCAAATGCTTATGTTTACAGTGGCTGTTATAGGCTTGTTAACCTTTCTACTGGCTCTCTATAAAGCATAATATACTGGCTGTCTATAAAGCATAATATATATTAGCCATATTATTGTCTTATATTTATCATGTCTTATTTATTCTTACAGAAACCGTGTCGCTTCTCCTCTTGATTTGAATGATGCTGATATAACTTTATTTATGAGTGGGGCCATCCATCCTGACCTACCCGGACACACTGTTGATAAAGTCCTGGGATTATTCGACACACACTCACATCCAGGTAAGAATACATGCATAGATATTATGTGCTTATCTCTCTGGAAAGATATCAAGGCCTTAGAAATGTCACCTGAACTTTTCTGAAGTATGTGAATGTATTGCTTTAGTTATTTTTGTAGATTATGAACTGTGTATGGATACTTTTGCATACCGAGATGTCACCAACATTCTCTTGGGATGTGATACTAACTGTAGGCTCTGCTCTGTCTGAAGCTTTCTTAGACTGTATTCTTAGCTATGTTTTAACGCAATCTGGCCATAAAGAACTGACTTAGCTGGAAACTACATGTGAGCTAATCTGTGCTCTTAAACAAGTCTTTCTCAAATAACATAACAGTTACAAGCTAGCTATCGCTATCCAACTTTTTTTCACTCTCACCTTTTTTGTTGAAAATCAAACACCAAAACAGGACCATGAATTCTCATGTTGATCACATGCTCCAGAAAAATTTGTTAATTTTTCTGTATTTGTTAATGTGTGCACTGTGTTAACTGGTAACTGATGAACATTCCCCTATAAAGAGAAACATGTAGAACACCCCCAGTGTGAGTAAGTAAGCAAAGTATTAATTGTTTTATCTCTAGGTGCACCAGTGTTTAGTGGAGCAGCCAAAGCTCTGAGAGGAGAGTTGTTGACAGGACTGCTGACGGATGATCTGGCGCTGAAATGGTAACCGCTCATTCCTCTTTCAAGGTTGTCCCTCACCACAACTTCTCATTTTGGATTTGGATTTCTGTGTATACTGCATATATTTGTTAGTTGGTTAGTTAGAGTTACTTTATTTTGAACATTGTGAAATTTAAGAAAGCACAACATATAGTCTTTATACTTAGAAAGACATTCAAAACAAACACATTTAACAAAAGAAAGAAAGATTTCTTCTACATTATTTTTATCTTTGGTTTGTCATCACTTTCAAAGTAAAGTTAGCCTTCTCCATAGTTAAACCTGCACCATACAGTTATGTGCATTATAGTGTCTCTACAAACATTAGAGAAATGTCTAACTAACTCTTAACTTCTCATTTTCGATTTGTACATCTGTGTATACTGCAGATTTGTTTTGTAATGATTTTTTTATATTCTGCCACAACAACAAAGTATATTGGACGAATATACAGAAAAGGCAAAGCAAATAAAGGCAGTTTTATTCATAAAGCAGGTTTTAGAAAATAGGAACTTTACAATAAGAAATAATTACGGGGGCTCAGGTTTATTTTTATACATGCCATAACTTATAATAAAGGCATTTAAAATTTATAAGAGTGCCTTGGTTTTCTGTATTTTTGTACATTGACAGTCCCTTGACCTGTCCGACTATTTTTAACTTAAGTGATTTACCAGGTAGAGAATATACAAAAACGATGCACCTAATTACCGTTTTTGCAGGAAGTTGTGTCTGTAATAAAAATAAAATACAATAGAGTCTAAAACTTCCTTCCTATAATTTAATCACATTTCCTAGATTTTTTTATTGTTCAAACAAGAATTTCTAGTACCCAGAGTGAATTTCCAAGTATTCATTTGGTATTTGTTTATTATATTTTATTATTTTCCAGGGCGTCTGACCTCAAAGTAGACCTCCCTGCTGTTTTGGTGTTTCCATCATGGCGGTCAGATCATTCCCCCTCTGTGCTCCCCCTGCCCCCCTCTATAGAAGAGTTGACATCGCATATAAAGACTGCACTGCTTCAACCCGTGGTAAGTCCCATTGTAAACACATGCGAGTCTTAATCACAAGATAAAGGTTCCTCAAATATCTCTTTGCTTACACTAGCTGTAAATTCACTAAGAAAAAGCCATTGATAAAATTGAGAAGGTATTTGTTTTTAACGAGTGTGTATAGCTGCTTGTAAGATAACGTTTTATCCAGTATAACATAACAAGGTCCATATGTGAATCTCATATGTTTAAAGTTAGTTTTGTGTAGGCATTCATTGTCAGACTATTGGATCATGGCGAAGTTTACATCTCCATGTAAACAAATGGGCTAAGCTTATGCTAAAACCACATTTGATAAAGTCATGGTATGGAGATTTACGTCAGTGTGCAGTGTCAAATACTGTTATGTAATGTTTTGGTTTCAGGGTTTTGGTCGTTGTTGAGGTCACTGTATATACAGTAAGGCCTAGTATGGGGCTGCAAGATGTGGGTAATGAGTAGATTCATCATATATTTAAATTTCAAATTCTCGAATAACGTCTTGAAGTTACAAAAGGTTTTAGATACTTTATGCTTGTCAGTATGTTTCAAAAGCTTTGTATTGTGAGGCAGTTTAGAAAGTTTATCTTGCGCCATGATAAAACAAACTCTATAATATTTTAAGAAATTGCTTTTTAAAATTTCCATAAGAATGTTTGACAGGTATCTGTAGCATTAACAATTGCAGCTGAATAAATGCAAGATATATACCGGTAAGTCTGTAGCACATTCCGGCCAATGCTTAAAGGTGCACTGTGTAAAATCCCTCAGTCATCCAGGTAGAATCCATGGCAAAGGAGAAATTAAATTTGTCAATGGGATAAACGGTTATTTAATTCGAAAACGTTTCGCAGCTCAACCAAGCTGCTTCTTCAGTTCTGCAAGGTGCACTGTGTAACTTTTCTGGTGGAGGGTCCGTCAGATGCTTTTCTCCATGGAGTGGTTATTGCTTTGTTTGGAATGTTTCACAGTATGGCATTAAAACTTTCTATCTTCATGGAGACCAAACCAGAACAAATTACAGGTCAGATCTGTGGAGAGGCAACTGCTGCTCACATTCTGTTTTCTAGGTATTTTTGAGCTATAAAACCACCTGTAATTAAATAAATGTAAGGTAGATTTGTTTAATGTCCCCCGTTAGTGGTGCAATACATACATCACGACCAAATAACAGCAATTGGTTAAATGAAAAAAGTACCCACCTAACGTCAAGTGAACAAATTGTAATGCCAGACGGTTTCTACGAAGTGAAACCAGCTCATGAATCAGGCTAAAATGGCGTACTCTCAAACTGAAAATTTAAATATTGCAAGATTAATTTAATTGTTTTGCAAAAATTATTTGCATGTTTTTCAAAAGGCAGTAAATGTTATCACCCAATACACTTAGTTTTACATCATTCATTTGGTAGGGAATTCATTTTAAACACCTTTTTGCATTTCCATCAATATTCATTCTAAAGAAATTGCACTATGGCCTATACCCATTGCTCATAATTGGTTTCGAGTCTAGAAGTCTTGCCTCGTTCAGCACCTTCTTTGCTGATCACCCATATAACCGGGCAGCTGTTGTGGCGTCAGCAAATGCCACTGGTGTGGGAATGCCATATATGCCACAGAATCACAGTGGAGTTTCAGCTTACACATCACGTTTTTAATTCAATCTAAACTTTTTCTAATTGGTCCCTAACCTTTTGTACCCCCAGCCTGAGCTAACAGTGGCCAACCTGCCCAACTTCCTGTCCCTGGGTAGAGGTCTGCTGCTTCTCTTTGTGGGGGAAGAGGAGGATGAAATCGGGCAGAGGCAGAACAAGGCGCTGGTCAGCGAGCTGGAGAGAGTGGTGGAGATAGGAGGAGCAAAGATGGAAAAATACTTGCCCTGCTATATCCATTTGTGCGTACCAGTAACCGTTTTGTATAAATTGGGGTTTTATTGTAATACAAGACATTTCTGAAAACGTTATAATCATTTTAGAAGGACGATCAAATTATTTCCAGGCAAGCCTAACAGCTAATGCATATTTTTACAGGAATAACAGGCATGTCCTTTCAGTGCATCCCTCATTTTGTATGGGACCATGAATATGTATTTTTGATATGAAAAGCTCTTACTTCCAGATGGTTGGAGAGGGCCAGTTTTCCATTGTATTTTGTTTTTCTATGAATATCAAATAGGTAAATTTAATGTTTAACCTGATTAGTGACTAGACCCTAAAAGACATAATTAAAGTCCTATATTATGCAAGTTTTAGTCTTGTGAGCTCTTAGCCATGTTGTTACTTCCTCAAAACAGAAATGGAGTTGTGTTTTATTTAATTCACACATGTTTGAGTAGTCCTGCATTATTACTGTAGCCTTTTTACATCTCCAAGCTCAGAATACTCTCTTCCAATTTGTGATCTCATGAAGTGGTAGTTTTCACGTTAACAGCTACCTTTTACTTTTAATTCAGTAGAGACTGGAAATTCCAGGGCTGAAATTATCCAAATCATTCTAGTGAAGGTGTATGTAGTTTAAAAACACAGTGGAGCACTTCCTGTATTACCACATGACATCACAAGGTGAGACAGAGTATTTTTCGTTTGAGAGAAGAACTCAGACTCAGTTCAATGTTAACAATATTAATTCTATTAATTTTAGCTACTCATTTGTTTGTTGTGATGTAATTAGAAATTCAGCAAAAAGTCATTACAATGTTTGGGTAAGAAAATATGTTTAATCTATTTAGTATTAGTTGAATTGAGTGCAAATTTTCCTCAGACTCAAGGGTTAGGGTTCTATCTATGCAATTTTGTTTTACAATTTGCACTGACAGACTTAGCAACTTATCTCTTTAACTTTTAGCAGATGTTTTCAGAAAGTACAAAGACGACATGTGTTCTGTGGTGCCAAAAAAAACATGCAATGTTTATTTAATATTTAACACAATTCATCCTTTTGACTGTACTTGCATTCCCATCACCTCTATTGTACTCTGTGTCCCAGGGGGCGGACTCCAGCCGGTATTGATGTCCTTGGATCATACCTTGGCTCTGTGCCTCCTCTGCCCTCTCTGATCCTTACCCACAATCCATCAGCAGCGGAAATCTACCAGTATCCTCCACGGCTACCTATTACAGCTTCCTCTGTGCATCAGTGGGTACAGAGGGTGGAGGAGGGTGGGGAGAAAGCAGCAGGTAAGGGCACATTTTAAGACTTTAAAGGTCCTATATTACACTAAATTGAGCTGAAAACAGAGTAATGTGGGCCCTTTAATGAGTAATTAACTTTTAATAATTATGAAATGAAACTAACCAATGGTAAATATACACTGCTTAGAACTGGATTGTTTGCTTATTATGTTTATTTTGAACATGAATAAAAAAATATTGAAATTAAAACAAATGAAGACAACAGCTCTAAGATAAACACTTAAAATAACCCAGCAATGTATGTGTTTATACATATTGTTTATATAGAAAATGCACATATTTGAATAGGACTGTAAAAAAAATAACATTTCCTTAAGGGGTAAATGCTCTGACCACTGAATAACAAATTTTATTTTATAATTATGAATATTGAACTAAAATATGAATACTACTAGGACTATGTGGTTTGAGGGGGTTATATCTAGAGCCCGACCGATATGGATTTTGTTGTGGCCGATATGAAACGGATATAATGGGAGTTGGAGCTGCCGATAGCCGATATATTCGCCGATATATTTAGTGATGAAAAAATTCACTGTAAATCTTGAATTGTTTAAAAAACTTAGGTTTGGCTCTAGTGGATTCTAAATTGGGTTTATTTAGGCAACATTTATTGTTCTGACTCTTTACATCATATTTACATACAGTAGATTGGACTAATGGCATTTTTGCATCACATTCTAGATACTAGTGATGGGTATTCCAGTTTTTTTTTTGGAAAACCGGCTCTTTTGGCTCGGCTCACTAAAGCAGCTGGCTCTTTCGGCTCCCAAGCGACTCTTGAGATTGTTTTGTTGCAAGCAGGACTAAACCAGAACTGAACCAGGACTGAAAAAGGACTAAACCAGGACTAAAACAGATTTAAACCATGTGTGAAACAGGACTAAATCAGAACTTAACCAGGTCTGAGTGTCGGGACTCGGTTTTTATCTCTCTCCTTCACTCGAGCCCAAGATTAGTCCTGGTTTATTTATTTTATGCTGAACTGCAGCCAAATATGCACTTTTATTTTTTTTATCCTATGCACACGCAGATTTCTGAAAGTTTCGTTTTCAGCCGCTGCTGCTGTCAAACTACGGGTCTACATGCGGCTTGAAGAGAAAAAGTGAGAAAAAGCGAAAACACGGCTCCCAATGAGAAACATGCTCCCGTTGTTCGCTTCAAAGAGCCGCTTCGATCGACCGACCCATCACTACTAGCTAGTAAATAAACTACCGCTATTAGCCTTTAGCCGTGCGCGCCGCGGTAATTAATTATATGCATAAATGTGGATCATTCACACGTCTATTCACAGCTCATTTACATATCAATGCAGGTTCAGTAACAAATATACGGCCAATATAGTCACTTTACAATAGACCAATAGAAAACAGCCTGTTTATGTGTGGGAGCTACAGCAGCTAATCGCTAACAAAACCTAAACTAGCTTCAAAGTCGATGTATTTCTAACACTCACCGCTCACACAGGCTCCTCCTCACATCACAAGTCAGCACTAATAAATGTCCTTTTAATCCAGACTCAAACCGATTGTCCGTAAAAAGAATATAAACTCAGAGTTGCGCACCGCTGCGGGTGTAAACAAACACACGTGAGTGAAGTGACGTCACTCTGGGGGTGTGTTCAGGGACAGTACGGACACAGACACAGACAAATTAAACCGCAGATAAATACTGATGCGGAGCCACATATGAGGACATTTATCTGTGTGTAAATTGGATTAAATGAACATAATGTAGAGAGTCTAAGCTTTATAACGAGGTATAACATGCCCACGTGAAATATCGGCCCATATCAGCGAGCATATCGGCCGATAGCCGATATGTCTCCAGGTGCCCATATTGGCCGATAATATCGGCCAGCCGATATATCGGGCTCTAGTTATATCTATCTTTAAATAGGATAAGAAAGTTTTGGATGGTTTAAATAGGGATGGGCATTCGATGAAATTTTCTTAATTGATCATCGGAAGAATTAACGATCGATTATCGATCCATCATTAACGTTTTTATATTAAAATGATCATCATTATTATTACTATCTGCACTACTAATCTGCATTAATAAATTCAACTTTAAGACATATAAACCGTAACGACTCTAGAGCCACATCAATCCGTTTGACATTATAATGTGTTTAATTCAGTTTTGCGCAACTCTCACAGAAACGAAACTTAAAACCGCATCGCTAATTTGCATAAACTCAGCGAAGATAAAACTACAGCTCTTGTGCGCTGATGCGATCAACTTCTGTCGGATTAAAAGACATGATTCAGTGGAATACAGGTTAGTGTGACCATATTTGCGTTTGTCAAAACCAGGACACCGTACGGGGGAAGGGAGGTGGGGTCATCGACATTGCGCGACTCTCACCAGGTAAAGCTTTTTCCCACTGGACACCGAAACGTATGTTCGTGCTTTGTACACTGTGCACATGGACTCCCACTTGTCCCGAGCGCAACGGAAAGCGTGGAATTTCTTGTACAAGTCATCGTTAAACACGCATTTGTGCTTCAGTACGTTGCAGACGAATGTTTCTGTTTGCTCGCTCCTTCTGAGTGCAGAGCATGGATCTATTAAAATAACTAACGTAGTGGTCACTCACTGGAACTTCAGCAGAAAAAATCCCATGGGCCGAGACAAGATTTTTCTCATAGAGCACAATATAATCACAAACTGCTCGTGTTCGTCTGACAGATCACCTACAGCTTTCAAAAATGTCGGATTTGCTGGCGATTTTTACCTATTTTTAGATCATAAACTTTTTCTCAGCTCAAAATCCTTCAGTTGTCTTAAAAAACTGTTTATATTCGTTAGCTTCGGCTACGCTCTGCTCCGCTTTAGCTCACGTGACACACGAGCTCACGCACCGTGCGCAACATTCGCGTGTGCCCGTGGGAGAAAAGAGCACTAGTGCGCATGCTCGGTCGGCCCACAGCCACCGGAAGTACCTAGCCGGGCTAGGCTAATCTGGGATCATGCACCATTGAGCTCAGCCCATTGATTTGAATGGGCGGCCATTTTGGAACCTGGGGGCTTGGTGCAGAGAGACACATGTACGGACCATGGATCTATTAAAATAACTGGATACAGTATTGCTAGCTTGTAGCTGCCTCGAGTTGACGTATTGGCCACTCAGTGGTACTACAGTCGAAAAAATCCCATGGGCCGAGAGAAGATTTTTCTCATAGAGCGCAATGTAATCACAACCTGCTCGTGTTCGGCTGACAGGGCACCTACAACTTTCAAAAATGTCGGATTTTGTGGCGATTTTTACCTATTTTTAGATCATAAACTTTTTCTCGCTCAAAATCCTTCAGTTGTCTTAAAAAAACGCTTTATATTCGTTAGCTCCCGGCTCCGCTCTCGTTCCTCTCGCTCTGATTGGTCAAAGCGATCACGTGATACACGAGCCCGCGCTCCGTGCGTGTGCTCGCGTGCATTCGCGTGTGCCCGTGGGAGAAAAGAACAATACTGCGCATGCTCGGTCGGCCCACAGCCACCGGAAGTACCTAGCCGGGCTAGGCTAATCTGGGATCATGCGCCATTGAGCTCAGCCCATTGACTTGAATGGGCGGCCATTTTGGAACCTGGGGGCTTGGTACGGACCCGTTTGGTCACACTACGCACAGCAACCTACATTCGGTTTGTAGATGAAAATTAACGTAATCGATGAAATTCTTAATGATCAATTATCGATTAATCATGCCCATCCCTAGTTTAAAATTGTACAACTGACAAATCGTCTATGGTAGAAAAAATTAAACATAAAAATGATACTAGTCCCATGTGGTTGGGAGTTTTTATCTATCTTTAAATAGGACAGGAAATTTTTGGATGATCTAAAATTGTTTAACCGACAAACCATGTATGGTAAAAACAAAATATCCATGTGTTTTGTAACTGCTATTTAAGCACAAATATTTTGGGCCAACATTGTCCTGTAAATCATCTTACATTACACCAATGTATACACCAAAATAATCGACTGAACCGATATCTTGAAACTGATATCTGATCCATCAAAATGTTCAGTATGTGAATGTGCTGATATCAGATACTTTTACATTTGTGTGGGTCAGTTATTAGGGATGCACTGATACAAGAACCCATTTACCCCTTCCAGATATTGTCATTAACATGCAAATGCTTCATATAATTAAACCCTATAAGATTGCACCAAATAATTGCATTCTTTTCTGACTATGTAACTGATGAATGAATCTCTGACATAATCAAGTTACTTTATCCAAAGCCCATTATTGTCCATTACAGCACATAATCACAATGGTCCGTATAGACTAAGGATTACGTAATGTAATAAGGTCCCTTACACCTTTCTCCTATTTTCCATCCTTCCTAGCATTCAGCCATAATAGCACCCTTACCGTTGTGGTTTAGCGCTTTAAGATGCTTGGGTAATGCTTCCTTGGCTTTTTTTCTCAGCCCATTTGCCTTCTGTTTACTCTAATTACGCTCTTAAAATAGTGTCTACTTTTAGCACCTGCTGTTATAGTGCACTTAATGTCTATATATGCATCCATAAAGCTAAAACAATAAAACATCTCTTGCGTTCATACGTTGTCATATCTTTACATTACGATGGGTAGATGAGTAAAACATTAGCTCCAGTTGGATTTATGACTAGACGTTGGGAAGAGGAGACATTTTGCCCTTCCTCATGCTGTGATCGGGTGTCAGACCAGAAATTGCTATGACTTTTAAACAATAGACTACATGAACACTGTCACCTTTAAAAGCAGATAGGACTTTCCAACAGCACTAAATTTAAAAGTGTAGTTGTAATTACTCATGCTATACAAACTTCCTGGTCATTTCTACAACAACGGAGATGAATCTGTGACCTCACTTGGAAAATGTAGTAAAACTTTGTAAATTGTCCAGACGTTTATGGGGGACAGTTTAAGAGAGCTTTTCCGTGAATGAAGACAGATACACTAGACATTGTTTCACTCATGGAAAAAACGCATCTTTTATTTCAGTGTTTTGACTGATCACTTCAGTTTATGTTTTGTGTATTTTTAAAAATGCTATACTTGACGCCAACAGAAACAGAGGGTTTTGAAAGGATAAGGATCAGTATAAGGACGATGTCAGATTTAATGACTTGACTGTTATCTATTTTTAATACATTTACACTAACTGCTAGAGAGTTGCCACAAGGAAGTGTTGAAAAAAAATGGGAGACTTTTGAGAGATTTTTTTTTTTTTTACTTGAACAAGGATATTCAGATGAATGCCTTAAAGCTGCATTATGTAACTTTTCGGGTAGAGTGTCCACCACTTGTTTGTCTCCATGGAGATGGTATTATTTTGTCTAAAATGTTTCAGATTGTGGCATTAAACTTGTCCAGTTATGGATGTTTTTATTGCTCAAAGAACATGCACTGCTAGAGTCAGCAGGACATCCTTTGCACAGATCTGACCAGTATCTTGGTCTGGTGGCAGATAATTAAGTTTAATACTACTATAAACATTCCAAGCAAAGTAATTACATCGTCATGGAGACAAAATTGTAGGCAGACACTCCACCAGAAAAGTTGCATGCAAGAATATTCAAATGTTCCAGTATAGACACCAGGAATTAGAACTGTTTTCCTAATATGGACTGAACCAGATTTTCAGTTTGATTTTATTTTGTCTTATTAAAAACAAAACATAGTCAAAAATAGTCAAATCACTTCGTTTATAGTCTGAACTCAGCTCCAAACTACATGCTGTTACTGACAAAAGGTTGGCTGGAGACCTTTTAGATCAGATAGATAGATTATCACTGACAAATAGAAATGACTGAATCTTGATTCCTAAGAATTGAAGTCCAAAGAGTAATAATGCTGGGTTTACGTGAGAAAAGCAAATAAGGACCAGCTTGAGATAATGGATTCTTTAAAATAACATTGTTGAAACTTCAAACTGTTTACAGTTAATGGCACTCACCCGCTCACTTCACCCTTTACTTTGGTCTCATTTGGACTAACAGACCCTTCTTGCTAAGACTTGTCCCTAGGCCCCTCAGGCTTGAAATAGCCATATGTTCATGTCCTACTAAACATTCCATACATTCTAGGGTAAAGAAATGACCACTATAGATTAGATTGTTATGTATTTTAAAGGTCCCATATTGCGTAAAGTTGACTCTTGTGTGCATGACATGTTTGAGTAACCCTTGAGTAACCCTCCAAAGCTCAAAATGCTCTGATCCACCCTGTGATGTCATGAAGCAGTAGTTTTCAAGGTAACAGCTACCTTTTACCTTTAGTTCAGTAGAGATTGGCAATTCCAGGGCTGAAAGCATGCAGGTGATCTATTGAAGGTGTATGCGTATGTATAAGTTGTGTGTATACGTTTTATAATGTATGTATAAGTTTAAAAACACAGTGGAGCAATTCCTGTATTACCACATAACATCACAAAGTGGAACAGAAGAAGGTTTGTGTGACAAAAAAAATAACTCCAGGTATGTTTCTGGTGAGGATAGAGCATTATAACATAGATGAGAAAATAGCTTAATAACGACCTTTTAAAGTCTTGTCATGTAGAATGTCATCCCATTGTCTCTATAGGAGTGTTGGGAGAGGAGAGCTGGCCTCCTGTTGCACCGTTTTTGGATTTCCTGGCGATAATGGATAAGGAGAACCCCTCTTTTGCACGGCAACAACTGCCCAAACAGGAAATGGGTGAGGGTAAGTCCAAAGAAGAAGATGGAAAGGTGAACAGTGCAGATGATGTGACAATAGAAGAAGAAACCAATCTACCTCATACAGATCCAAAGCAACACACTGAGCTTTAACTTCTGGGTGACAAAAATAAGTCATCTGTCATCATCAATTACCTCATATTTTATACTGTTTTTTATATTTTATTTTTTTATTTCGAAGTACATGCATCTTGAATTTTTCACTGAATTCGTTTCGTTTTGTATTTTGATGGACCAAGAACACTCTTTTAACATTTCAGCATTTTGGTTGGAGGTCCGTCACCTGATTGTTTCTATATGTCATTGCTCTGCCTGGAATGTTCCAAAGTATGACATTAAACAGCTCTTCCTTACATTCATTAAATTACAGGTGGTTTTATAGCGCAAAAATACCTTAAAAAAAAACATGAATTGTGACTGTGAGCGAGATTGCGTCTCCACAGATCTGACATGTAACTTGGTCTGGCTTGGTCTCCATAAAGATAGAAAGGTTTAATACCATACTCAAAACATATTCCGGTTGTTCCGGTTGGTAGTAGTAGTCTATTTTACTTCATTGTATTCGTGAAACTGAAGTAAAAGCATTATTCTCATGTTTAATATGGGATCTGCTTTTAGACCAATGTGCCTTTATTTATTTATTTTTATTTATATTTGTTTAGTTTCTAGTAAAATGATAAAGCAACAATAAAGTTTTAAAAGGGAAAATCTATGCAATCTGATTATTATTTAGAGCCAACATTTCAGATTGACCACATGAAATATTCTAGTTAAATATTAAAGGAGCACTATGTAACTTTTTGGTTTGGGGTCTGTCACCTGCTTGTTTCTATGGATATGCCTTTGCTCTGCTTGGAATGTTCCACAGTATGACATTAAAAAGCTTTATCTTATGTTTACTCAATTACAAATGGTTTTATACCTCAGAAATACCTAGAAAAACATTCTGAATGTGAGCGGGGTCGCCTCTCCACAGATTTGACCTGTAACTTGGTCTGGTTATGTTTCCATGAAGACAGAAAGGTTTAAACAGTAACAAAACAATACCATTTCCATGAAGAAAAATATTTGACGGACACAACACCAGAAAAGCTACATAATACATCTTTAAGGTGTGCATAGAAAATATATTTGTTATTTTTTTGGTGTTCCAAAATTGTTAATCACTGAAAAATAAGGTTCATCTGTGGTCAAAATGTAAGTCTTAAAATGTACCAACAAAAAAATGAAATAAAACATTGTTAACATCACGTATTCACTTTTATGTGTACAAGTCTCTCCATGGCCGAGCACTGAAGTACATCTGTGACATGTTAGTGTCATATGAACCATCTCACATTCTGAGGAGCTCAGGGACCGGCCTCCTGCTGGTGCTCAGAGTCACGACTAAACAAGGGGAGTCAGAGTTTCAGGTTCATGCAGCTAAAACCTGGAACAGTCTTCCTGAACATGTGAGACAGGCCTCTTCTGTGACGCTGTTTAAATCCAGGCTCAAAACATTTCTGTTTGACTGTGCATATAACTGAAAGGTTTTCATTCCGCACTCTTCTCTCCAATTTATGTCTCTCTTTTTTAATTTTAATCTTCATGATTATTTATGTTTTGATTTGTTTTTATTATGATTTTAATGTATTTCTTATTCTGTAAAGCACTTTGAATTACTTTGTGTACGAATTGTGCTATACAAATAAACTTGCCTTGCCTTGCCTTATGTGTTTGTGATACTGCATTAGATTACCCTTTAGCATTACCGTAAGTCTCATAAAAGCGTCATCAAGAAAAACATCTTCGGAAGTGTTTTGTGGTCTTCCGTGGTGGTTCTACTTGATTTTATACCGTGATTATACCAACCTTACATCACTGAATAATAATGTTAATGTGTTTATGGACTCTTTTTATGGAGGACTTTCTGGAAAACCTCTGATAGGATCTTGATAGTGTCATCTGTTTCTCTTCACTGGGAAGTTGATTTCAAATTAATCAACTTTTCTTTCAAATAGTTTACATCACAAATTCTCAATCCTGTTTTCAATCGGTCACGGTTTTTAACGCTACAGCCACATCTGTTGACTGTGTATAAAATCAAAGAAAGCATGAAAATTGGTGTGATAGTTTTTAACAATTTGCATGAATATTTACAGGAATTGACTTGTAACTTAACTCTGTTTTTCCCATTATTCCACCTCATGTCCGGTAATAAACCCAAAGCATTATGGGAGTTCTGGGGTAGTTTTCCCAGCAGCTGAAGTGCAGACGCATTGGTGTGGAGAATTGATTAGTTGTAATGAAATGTGACTTTAGATGGCTTTGAGAGATTAACTTGTTGGAATAGTTAAGTGTCAGTAAACCAGGATTTGGTGATCTGTATGGATCTGTATTCAGGCTGTGACATGGATGGCATTTTCCATTTTATTATACACACATAGATATTAGTTTGAGAAAGATTTATTGTGGAAGAAGTGCTGAATGGTGTTTTTCCTGCATTAATTGGAATCGTCTTTACATCAGATGCCCTCCCTTTTGATTTGGACAGCATACATTTACTGTAATTACCGTACTGTAGACCAACACCAAAGACCAGGATTAGACTGGGGCAAACCCAAGTTTACATCATGACTAATTCATCATGGGTAAGTACTTTACTCTCCCCAGACACTTCCTCCAGCTTTGCATTTATTATTGATGCAATATTCAAAGGTCTTATATTACTGACTCCTGTGACCTTTAAGACATGTTAGAATGTTGCTGAATCATAAAAAATTAACCTCGAATTGTGTTTTGTGTGTTAAATATGTGTGAACAAAATAAAACACAACTCCATATATGTTTGTGATGAGGAAACCTGTAACATAGATTAGAAAATAGCATAATATGGGCCCATTAAAATATGTAGGCTATATGATTTACTTCTGAACAAAAAGTGAACGCATTACATTGAAATTTGTAAACTAATATAAGTCAGCTTGTGGGATTTAAAAGTGTGTAACTTTTCTGGTGGAGGGTAAGCCAACTGCTTGTCTAGGTGACGCATTTAGGTCAGGTGACAGGTCAGATCTGTGGAATACATGTTTTTGAAGGTGTTTTTGAGCAACAAAAACCCTTAATTGAGTACATGCGAGATCCATAAGATTAAAGCCATGCTGTAGAACATTCCAGGCAAAGTGTTAACATCTCCATGGAGGCAAACAGGTGGCATATCCTCTACCAGTTAGTTACATAGTGCATCTTTATATATATGCAAGAATAATGCTGATACTGCTCTTTTCCCTCAAAATTAAATCCAATCGAGTGGAGTAGCACATGAAAATATGCCAAGATCTACAAACAGTGCTTAGTGTACTTTTTGCAAGTTAACTGTCTCTTTTCAGGCTTTTTTGGGGATTAAATTTTTAATGCTGCCAGTCAAAAGTGAGGCCATGTCATGAAATTTAATAATGCTTCCATAGATATCTGGGTCCAACTTTTATAATCTAGAGTGGAGTGAGGGGTATACAGTTTGGCAGGGTCTCAGTAAAGTGAAAACGCAGGCTTTTTCCAGGTGAAGCCATCAAACATAATGACGTAATGCAAGGGTAGGCTTTTTTTTTTTTCCATGGGGCCACATGAGAAGCAGAAAATATTGTGAGGGACTGGGCCAAAAAGCTGGTAAGACTGGTAAGAGTATATGTTCTGACTAAGCAAAGAAAAAGTGAGGTTGCCCTACAAAAAATTTATTTAAAAAAAACACCTCTAAAATAAAAGCAATGCCACCTGAGTCCATGCGTGAGGTAAAATGATAAAATATGTTTATCTTGTCATTCCAAATTAGATTAAATGGGACAGTCAGAGTCAACCAAAAGGCCGTATGTGGCCCTGGAGCGGTACAGTGCTCAGGTCTGACATAATGGGTGCTGGTGGAAGGGGTTTAAACTGGTTCAGCAATAAAGTTAGAGCACGGAATAATATTGACAAACTCAAACAGCAAACATCTATTTAAAGGTGCATTGTATAACTTTTTTGGTGGAGAGTCCGTCAGATGCTTGTCTCTGTTGAGTTGTGGTTGATTTGTCTGAAATGTTTCACAGTATGGTATTAAATCGTTCTAGAGACCAAGTTTCTGGTCAGATCTGTGGAGAGGCAACCAAGCTCACAATTAGAATGCCTGTTTTTCTAGACATTTTTGAGCTATAAAACCACTTGTAATTTAATAAATACTGTAAAAGGTAGAGCTTTAATGTCATACTGTGGAACATTTCAGGCAGAGCAATGACTTGAATTACTGCTGGACTATGATCATATTGAAAAACTACTTATTTTCTGTTCATAATTACATTCTATAAAAAAAATAGTATTTATAATTTTCACGGTATCAAAATAAGTACTGAGAATCAAACATTTTTCTTTGTATCAAAACTGTCTTTTAAAGGCACACTGAGTAACATTTCTAGTGGATAGTTCGACACCTGCTTGTCTCCATGGAAACATTATTGCATTGTCTAAAATGTTCCACAGTTTACAGCACTACGCTACATTACAGTTCAGATCTGTGGAGAGTCGTCCATATTGAAAGAAGGAATTATTGTACATTCTAGATGGATATGTTTAATGTCATGCCATGTAACAATCCAGGGAAAGCATTAACATCTCTAAAGTGAAAAGCATTTGACTGACCTTCCACCAGAAAAGTTACACAATGCACCTTTAATACACAATTCTGGAAAATGTTTGATTCTCAGTACTTATTTTGTTAGAACAATAAAAATTATGAACACTATTCGATTAAACCATAGAAGATACCTTCCAGAAAAATTGCGCAGTGCACCTTTAAATGTTAGTACCATGACAATGCTGGTAATACGGAATAATATAAAACCTTAAAAAGCAGTTCTGTTGTTTCCAGGCCTCAGAAGCTCAATGATATCTTTTGTTTCATGGCTGAAAGATGACATTGTTTACCTCCCCATTGGCCTAAAACAAACATAGAATAATTGTATTTCATCGTGGCCTGGAGTAGCTATAATCATTCAAAGGGAACGTTTGTGCGTAGATCAATTATGTAACTGGATTGTAGGCCGCCATCCACCCTTGTGCTACGTGTGAGTGATGACAGCAGTGGCTTATATTCAGTTATGACTACAGCAGATCTGCGCCATAAATACGTTTTTCCAATAGCGTTTGCCGTTTCTATGCAATTTTGTAGATACAGATGCGTAGATACTGGCCTATGGATTTTGTAAACATCGTCTTCACCACCAAGAATTTAAAATGATTGCATAACTCTATGACCACAATTATGGAGTCAAGTATAGCCAGGCAGCACATGCAAGCACAAGGATCTGCTTTAATTACAAGGTCGTGTAATAGAGACAAAACACGATATAATGACATACAGATGCACTGGTGAAAGGTGTTTGCTCTGTCTCTGCTCAAAATGTATGATGGTTAGTATAGTATATTCTACTGTTTAAACTTACTTGTTTTTTATTTATTTTTTTATTATTTAAGCTCTGTTTTTAACATAATATCATGGTATTTTATCCAACTAAGAAGTGCAGCATGTGCAGTTCAAAGGACACAGGTAAGGAACTAATGGATTGTGAGAAAGAAGCTTATCTGTATCCATAGAGACAGTACAAGAGGCTGCCCAAGGAGATAACTATAATATATCCTCCTGGGACCTGAAGAAAAAAAGTGTACTGCAATATATATATTTTGTGATTTTCTATCTTTGGTGGTAAATGAACACCTTAGCATTTAGATTTTGTTCATTTTGTTTTTATTCATAATTTTGTAACATGTCCTCTGTAATGTTAGCCTTCATCAGACGGTTTCACTTTGTAGAAACCATCTGACCTTGCAGCATTAGGATTCGTTCACTCGATGGTAGGCAGGTACTTTTTTATTTTAACGAATTGCTGCTATTTGGTAGTGATGTATGTATTGCGCTGCTAATGGGGCTAACTGATATATTTTGCCAAATCCCATAGGAAAAAGGGCAATAACGTCTTTCCCCTTCATAAAATTCACCAAATATTATTTTTGTTTCAGCTTTAAATCCTCGATCTCTGAAATCGTTGCCAACACAGAATGTATGGCTCTTCACTGATTGGCTGGTGGCCAAACTCACACTTCCGGGGTTCTTGCAAACCGTCTAGTGTATTCCGATTCCTGACCTAGTCGTTGCAGAGAAATGAAATTGAGCGGAGGCACTAGGTGGCGCCAGCCTGGCTGCTGTAATAGACACCAGGGACATTTTGGTGTGGACATCCTTGTGAAGTTAACAACCTAACAAAAACAACTTTTTTGATGTAGACATAGATATAGACAGACAGACAGAGAGACAGACAGACAGATAGATAGATTTTATTAAGGTTTTATTGTATTGTAAAAGCAGTTTACTTAATGGATGAAATACATTACATTTATGGTCCTTTCTTTCCTTCTTCCAGTTTATCTCTCTGATTTACAACGGTAGATTCCAAGAAGGTAATTATCAAAACCTTGGCCATAATTTGACTCAATTTCCTTGTAAAAATAAGCCCTTTCTTTCATTCAGACCTTCTATGTTTTACCACGGAATCTGTCACATTCTAGGAAACTCTAACCAGCAACAAAAACAGTTTATAATTCACACCACAAACAGTTAGGATAAGGATTATAAATGGTAAACACTGGA